CTAACCCTAACCCTAACCCTAACCCTAACCCTAACCCTAACCCTAACCCTAACCCTAACCCTAACCCTAACCCTAACCCTAACCCTAACCCTAACCCTAACCCTAACCCTAACCCTAACCCTAACCTAACCCTAACCCTAACCCTAACCCTAACCTAACCCTAACCCTAACCCTAACCTAACCCTAACCCTAACCCTAACCCTAACCCTAACCCTAACCCTAACCCTAACCCTAACTAACGTTTTTTGGTTATTTTGTGGATTAATCCACGAAATAACACGTATCGAACTTGCTGGTTATTTCGTGGAGTGTTATTTCGTGGATTGGTATTTTGTACGCCGATTTCTCAGTCAAGGAAGCCTTAAATGGCGAAGGTCATCGTAATGATAGTTGTTTAGAATCTTTGGTACTACCTATTACCAAACTTTTTCACAAAAGTACCAAAAATGGCAAATTTTTTTCAATATTCAAACTGCTCTGCAGGACGGAGTTTTTTCCATAATTATGCTTCTTTTGAAAGGCTCTATTTATTCAGACAAAGAATTTTGAAGAAAAATCAAATTAAAATAAAAAACTTTGAAAAATCATAAAAAATAGAGAAAAATGTTTAAATTTATTCTGACCGCCTATTCGAGCTTAGCTTAGTCTAGTCTATCGATTAAAACGGAAAAAAATGTTTACCAAATTCGAAATTAAAAATTACCAAAATAGAGAAAATTGGAAAAAGTTTACCAAAGTTGTGTAGACAAAAATGATCAGCGTGTCGAGAAACGTATTTTAAACAAGACGTGGAATGAGAAATTTTTCGGGAAGAATTCTATATTTGGAAATGACGAAAAGTTATTTATATAGAAATGACGAGCGCATTCCATTCCATGCATTCCACACATTTCTGACATTCCTAGCATTCCTGAAGGTGGGTTACGGTTAGGGTGATTTTTTTGCGCGACGTACAACTTTGAAACTCTGTTTTTTTTCTAAAAATCGGCATCCTGGAGTTAAGAAATCGAGGGCTGTTTCAATCTTGGACCGACCTCTGGAACCGAAAAACCATCTCCAGGACCACCATTCTCAGAACTCCATGGACAGGAGATATATCAAATACAACAATAGTACTACAATATTATTACAATAGTATAACATTAGTATAACAACAGTACATTGATAATACTACAACAACAGTAGAACCCCAATAGTGAAATAACAATAGACAACAATATTACCACAATAATACCACAGTAGTACAACACAATACGGCAACAGTACTACAACAAGGACGGAATTTAATATATCTCAATCACTCCATAGTCCAAATTCCACATCTATTGAAAATATATTTACTTACTCATGCGACATACATGAAAATTGTACAACACATTTGTGTCTGCAATCTTGTTCTGCATTCTTGAAATACACAATATCACTGTAAAAATGGGTGCACAGATATACAAATTACAAGTATAGTATTACAATATTATTACAATAGTATAACAACAACTAAACTTACACTATCTCACTACGTACTTTCCTCATCTGTTCAAGATATATTTCAAATCTACTTATGTCCAACCATGCAACTAAAATTCATGTGCATCATCAAATCACACATATCAATTGCCAACTAATAACTTCACATACACGAAATGCTATCTTCCATTACAACATTTATACAAATGGATCGACATACGAGCAATATTCGCACCAGGCTGCCACCCTCGTGGAAAATTCCAAGGAACAGTGCTCCAGTCCGCTTTCTTTTTTATAACTACGAGTTACTAACGCAAGGGAAGTGTTTCCAAAACTTTCGGTTAGGTTGTTCAAAATCTGTTTATAATCCGTGCATAGTTCAAAACTAAATAACACTATAATGGTAACATGACACTATTATAATTTTTATTATTAGCACTCCGAACAACAGTACCTTATAAATATTAAGTAATTATGGGTCATTCCACGTTTTATTTCTGCGACAATAGATGTATAATGTTACCCGCAGGGCTACCTCCACACATTTAGCTATTGCGCGATTGTCACTAAAGTTAATTTGCGGATTTTGCAATATTCCTAGACACAAAGTCAAGTGTGGTCACTTCTACATTAATAACCTGTATTAACTCGCAGTTAATAACACTATTAATAATGGATAATTAGAAATATAATGCACAAGGGCCAAGGACTCTTAAGGCTATTAACAATGGTAATTGACTTTGCAAGAGAAAAACATGAGTTCTTACCGTTAACTATAAATAACGTTGTTATTGAGCGGGTAAAATCTGCCCGAATTCTTGGTCTTTCAATTGAAGATTATTTGAAATGGAACGAGCATGTGAACCATATTGTTAAAAAAGCGGGAAAACGCCTTTATATGCTAAGGTTGTTAAAACGATCAAATGCCGACAATAGCATTCTAATTTTGGTATACTGCACCATTATCAGACCAGTACTCGAATATGCCTGCCAAGTTTGGCACTTCAATATTACAGAATACCTAAGTGAAGATATCGAAAAACTCCAGAAGCGGGCTCTGCATATTGTCTTGCCATTCGCTACTTACAGAGAAGCTTGCAGTATTACTGGTATACCCTTACTGAAAGATCGGCGGCGATTATTATGCGAACGTTGTTTTATTAAAAATGCACATGGAGACAAATTGGGTGATCTCTTACCGCCTAAACTTGATCATAACTATAATACACGTTATGGAAGCGATTATAATAACTATAGTTGTAAAACGGACAGATTTATGAAATCGTTTTTTCCACAGATGGTTTCACATATGAATAGACCATAATTTTAATATTTTTAAATTTGAACTCTATAAATTTTCAACTGAAGTTATGAATAACTTTATGCATTTAGATATTCATATTGTAGTATAATGAGACTTTTTACTGACGTAATTTAACCTACAGGTTACAAATCGGTATTTTATTAAATTATTAAATAATATAACATTATTATCTATACCATAACAACACTATTATATATACCATAACACTATTAATAATGGAAGCGCATAACACTATTACATATCCTGTCTGTCTGTATGTTTTTTTACAAAAAACTCTCAAAAACTACATATATTGTTAGCAGGTGAACTTATTAATGAACTTACGACACTATACTGGGCTATACAACACTATACAATTTTATAAAAGACTAGTGATACAACACTATATAATGCTATACGAGACTATATGACACTATACAGCGTTATACAAGACTATACGAGTATACAACCCTAGCTTACAACACTACACAATATACAAGCCTATACGACACTATACAACACTATATAACGTTATACAATTAAGACTATATAACAATATATAAAGGCTGTACGACACTATACAACAGCATGCAACAACGTTATACATGACTATCCAACAGTATATAAGGTTATACGACAGTATACAAAGTTATACAAGACTATAAGAATTATGACACTATACTACACTACACTACACTATACAACACTATACATGGCACTATAATACACTAAAGAAGACTGTACAACACTACACAACGTTATGCAACACTATATGTCACTATATAAGGCTATACGATACTATACAATGTTAATTATACAAGACTATACGACATTATATAACACTATACAGCAATATACGACACTATACGATAATACATAAGACTATACGATACTATACAACACTATACAACGTTGTACAAAACTATGTAATACTATATAATTCTATAACACTCTATACGACACTATACAGCGTTATACAAGACTATGGGACATGCACTATACAAGAGTATTCAACACCATACGACACTACACAATAATATACAAGGCTTTACGACACTATACAACACTATTATAATGTTATTCAAGACTCTACATAAGAGTATATAAAGGCTATACAACACTAGTATACTACACTGTACAACACAATACCATGTTATACAAGACTATAAAATTTTTGACACTATACAAGATTATACATGACACCATACTACACTGTATAAGACTATACAACACTGCACAACCTAAGGCAACACTATACGACACTATATAAGGCTATACAATACTACACAATGTTAAATATACAAATCTATTACGACATTATACAAGACTATACAGCACTATACAGCAATATATAAGTCTATACGACACTATACAACACATACAACACCATATAAGCCTATGCAACACTATACTACGCTCTGCTACGTTATACAAGACTATACAACAATATATAAATTTACAATGTTATACAAGGCTATACAACAGTATATAAAGCTATATGACACTAAACGACACTATGCAACATTATACAACAGTATACAAGTCTACACAACGCTATATAAGGCTATACGGCACTATACGGCACCATACGACACTATAAACCAGGTATAGTGATATACAACTATAAAGGTTAGGGTTAAACGCCAAAAAAGGGGGTTTGGCTAAAACATTTCGATGTCATCAGTTTCCGAGTTAGAATTTTACGCTGAATCCAAAGGTAGTACTTTCGTTCCCAGACTCCTCTTCGTTCCGGAGATATCACGGCCTGAAAATTTAGCGAAAAAGGGGTGTGGCCAAAAAATATCGATGAAGTCATTTTGTGAATCATAATTTTACGCTGAATCCAATGGTGCTACTCTCGTTCCCAGTCTCCTCGTTGTTCCGGAGTTATTGCGGCCTGAAAACGTAGCGAAAAAGGGGTGTGGCAAAAAATATCGATGACGTCATTTTGTGAATCAAAATTTTAGCTGAATCAATGGTGGTACTCTAGTTGCCAGGCTCCTCTTTTTTCCGGATATAGTGTGGCCTGAAAATTTAGCGAAAAAGGGGTGTGGCCAAAAAATATCGATGACGTCATTTTCTCAATTACAATTTTTCGCTGAATCCAATGGGGGTACTCTTTTTCCCTGGCTCCTCTTTGTTCTGGAGATATCGTGGCTTCAATATTTAGCGAAAAACGGGTGTGGCCAAAAAATATCGATGACGTCATTTTCTGAATCAGAAATTTTTGCTGAATCCAATAGTGGTACTGTCATTCCCAGGCCGCTCTTCGTTCCGGAGGCATTGCAGCCTGAAAATTTAGCGAAGAAGGGGTGTGGCCAAAAATATCGATGACCTCATTTTCTGAATCAGAATTTTACGCTGAATCCAATGCTTGTACTATAGTTCCAAGGCTTCTCTTTGTTCCGGAGATATCGCGGCCTGAAAATTTAGCGAAAAAGGGATGTGCCCAAAAGATATCGATGACGTTATTTTGTGAATCAAAATTTTAGCTGAATCCAATGGTGGTACTCCAGTTGCCAGGATCCTCTTTGTTCCGGATATAGCGCGGCCTGAAAATTTAGCCAAAAAGGGATGTGACCAAAAAATAGTGATGACGTCATTTTCTCAATTAGAATTTTTCGCTGAATCCAATGGTGGTACTCTTTTTCCCAGGCTCCTCTTTATTCTGGAGATATCGCGGCCTGAAAATTAAGCGAAAAAGGGGTTTGGCCAAAAAATATCGATGAAGTCATTTTGTGTATTATAATTTTACGCTCAATCCAATGGTGGTACTCTTTTTCCCAGGCTCCTCTTTATTCTGGAGATATCGCGGCCTGAAAATTTAGCGAAAAAGGGATGTGGCCAAAAAATATCGATGACGTGATTTTCTCAATTCGAATTTTTCGCTGAATCCAATGGTGGTACTCTTTTTCCCTGGCTCCTGTTTATTCTGGAGATATCGCGGCCTGAAAATTTAGCCAAAAAGAAATGTGGCCAAAAAATATCGATGACGTCATTTTCTCAATCCGAGTTTTTCGCTGAATCCGGTGGTGATACTCTAGTTTCCAGGCTCGTCTTCGTTCCGGAGATAGCGCGGCCTGAAAAGTTAGCCAAAAAGGGATGTGGCCAAAAAATATCGATGACGTCATTTTGTCAATTAGAATATTTCGCTGAATCCAGTGGTGGTACTCTAGTTCCCAGGCTCCTCTTCATTCCGGAGATATTGCGGCCTGAAAAATTAGCGAAAAAGTGGTGTGGCCACAAAATATCGATGACGTCATTTGCTGAATCATAATTTTACGCTGAATCCAATGGTGGTACGCTCGTTCCCAGGCTCCTCTTCGTTCCGGAGATATCGGGGCCTAAATATTTAGGGAAAAAGGGCTGTGGACCTCTCAGAACTTTGTTATACCTTTAAGCATCAGGCCCCATTACACCATCAGGCCCCACAAGTCATAAGTCTGTTCACTTTCTTGCTAGGTTCTTGGAATGAATGGCTACGAGCACTTGGTCAAGGCATCCTCCAATATTCTGGCCAAGAAAGTCCTTCAGTTGTTGGGCCAAAAACACAATGCTGTGGCAACATCGATATCTACAATCAAAAAAGACATCATCCTGATAGTAAGTGTACTACATTACCATATAATATTGTAACAATCAGTTAATCCTGACAGAACTTATATCCTCTTTCCTCCCACAAACATGCACTGTATAAAGTCTATCTACACGGCACAATTTTTCCTATACAATTCTGACCCTGGTGTATGTGATCGAATAAATGTGGAATCCGCACTAGTTGTCATATGTCAGAATAACAATTGTATACCATGAATCGGATCATGTAGTTAGGCCTATACAATGTATGTAAAATTCTTATAATATTATTCACTAAATATAGCGAAAGTTTATGAGAGAGGTATCGGAGGAAGAAGCCAAGCAGCTAAAGGACTTCTGGGGGGATTTCTACAGCTGGAAGAATGATACCCTTCCACGACATCTTAGTTTTGAAGATTGGGAAAAGACGCGAAAAGAGGACATGCATTACTATGCAGAAGACTAAGCATATACTTCATGCTTAAGTCTTCTGGACAGAAATGCCATGCAGGTTTATTCATCCAGAGTAGAACATAACAAGTCATATGCTTTGCATATAGAGATAAAAGAGGTGGACAAATTGGCACACATTTTTACTTCAAGTATTTTTAACCATTTCGTTTGACTTGGTTATGTAATCTCCAATTTTTTTCTTCTTATCTATGACCTCCATGGTGCAAAGTATTCTGGTATTTAGACTACACAAATTAATTTGAGCTACAAAAAGATTGAAAAACAAAGAATACAATGCAACACAACTACACACATTGATTTACATGTAACCTTCAATATATGTAAATCAATTGTACCCTGTCTAACGCCAGACGATTTTACTCTGTCTAACGCCAGACGATTTTACTCGTCAAGGGGAGAGCGCTGGCGCTTAATTGGTTAACTGGCCTATCTGCCCATGTGTCTAGTTAACCCATTGAGTGGCGTTGCAACCTACTTTAGTATTTTACTCTGTCTAACGCCAGACGATTTTACTAGTCAAGGGAGAGCGCTGGCGCTTAATGGTTAAAATATGCCTTTTCAGTTTTTGGGTTTTCCTTTGCAGAACTCATGTTGCAGAACTCATCAGTACTATCCCAAATAATCCTTTTTCATGAATAGAAGATCTTGGATCAACTGGATGATCTTTTATTTTTCTAAAACAGACAGTGGCAAAGATTCATCGCCGTTGCTTTTGCAGCAAGTCTGTTGTCATCGCCATTGCGACAGGTCTGTTAACGACAATTTGTAGCAAGTCTGTTGTCATCACCATTGCGACAGGTGTGTCGACATCAAAGTGCAGCAAGTCTGTTGTCATGCTGATGCGGGCAAGTATCGTCAAGCCGCAACAAGCCGAGCGAACGCATCTGATATGGGGCTTGGTGGCAACAATTCGCGTGCAGCCTGATGACAGACTTGCTGCAAGATGTGCTAACTTGGCCGTGTATGATTAGGTACAAGTTCTCGTAAACATCCAGAACAAATTATTTTGCGTGTTTAAATTTGCCACCAACATTAACAAACATAAAGACTTTGAAGATCCGTTAACAGCTTTAGCTTTTACACAGAATAACCAATTTTTTAAGATTGAATTTTTATTATTTTGCAAAGGACGAGGTTTGAACTTATAACACTGCATTTAATTTTGGTAGGCATTAGCTTTGTATTTCAAGGTGGTTGATCAATCGAAAACACCCGTCTTTGGGTGTTTGTGACCCTCTATTTGAAAGTTACATTTTGGTTTGTCTCCCTGAGCAATGTATAAATTTAAATACATGCAGTAAATGACATTTTTATGCTCATTTCTTGTAATGCCTCGAAAACCTCGTGGATGAATCTGTAAGGCTTCCAAAGTCGGATTTCTCGCTGAGCAAAGTTGTGGCATACATAAGCAGTCTACCTAACCCCCGAACTGAATTACCTATGTCGCCTGGAACAAAACTGAACATCGCGCATACGGTAGAAGGAAAAGTTTCAATTCATTTTAGGCAATGTCATCCAATCATAAAATCAACATTTGATGCAAAATCGTACTGTGTGAACTCAATAGTCAACATACGAAGTTGTAGTAGTGTCAAGCTTATTTGTTATTATTTTGTATCTTTCTTTAGAGACTTCAACGCAGGCTGAAGCACGTGGAAAAGCAAATTGGGGTGCCCAGAAAACTGCAAAAGTGTTTGACGCTATGACGGCAGGCTACTGTATATGTCCTCAGAAGAAAGCGAGGTCGACGAAACAACAAAAAGGATTGTGCGTTACAACGTTCGTAGCCTAACCTGGGAGAGTCCATCTCTATACGAAGAGCAAAGAAAAAGTTAGACAGGCTCCGCACCTTGTCTTTGTCAGAACTGGTACGGAGCAGAATTGTTCAGTCGCGAGGATGGACAGCCTTCCATTCGACCTAATCCAAACGACTGCCCGGAGTGGGCAGCTAAGAACAAGGATGACAATGTTGATGGGAGTGCCCAGTCATTAATTCTAGTGGCTCTTCATTGAATGACTTTGTTAATGACATTTTAAATGATCAAGACTCTGATTGTTTTAGTTTTTCAGTATAGTACAGACCCACGATATATCGCCCAAAGTTTTCCATGTTCTAATATATTAAGAGTGCTATATATATTTGTTCTGAACCTTCATGGCTTTAAACAGGTTCATACAAAATTCTAAATAGAAATATTAGACTGAAAGGTTTTTATTCGTGGGTTTTCATTCTGCACGTGATAATTTGATAATCAAATTTATGGGTTTGCGTAATTTGCACTATTTATACGATATGCATTTAAATATTCTGCATGGCAGATTTTTATTTTATTGATATGGTAAATATAAATTTGAAGAAAAAATTATATGTGCTGAAATCTTTTTTTGGTCTTTGGAGACATTACTTCCGGCTTTGCTATTAAACTCACTGCCACTGGAGCAGATTGTTTGCTATTAAGTCTAAATCTGGGAAACCCCAGAGAGATCTATGAATGGCATTATTTTTATTTCATTGATCATCTTACCTACACGTACAATTTATTAACAAAAATATCTAAAACATGGCTTAATTGTAACTATTATTATTTTAACATTTGCATTTGCGATTTTGAATAGTTTGTACGTTTAACCATTAATGTTTAATTAATCATTAACGGTTAAACAATACTATAAGTATTTAAATGGCAAATGGAAACGTCAAATAGACAATACACGTTTCTTTTCTGTCCTTTTCGTACAACATTAGCCCAAATGTGTTTTAAGGTTAAATAAAGATACAAAAAACCTTTGCTTAAAAAGTTGAGTAAAGATATGCACCTTTTCACAGTTTCAACACCACATTAAATGTGATTAAAAGTTAAATAAAAATACAAAACACCTTATCTTAAAGTTGAATAAAGGCATGTGCAGGTACCTTTTCACAATTTCAACACACATTAAATGTGATTAAAGGTAAAATGAAGATTCAAAACACCTTTGCTTAAAGTTGAGTAAAGACATGCACCTTTTTACAATTTCAACACTACATTAAATGTGATTAAAGATGTAAAAATACCAGAGCGGAAAGCTTTGTATATGTAGCTTCAAGGTACCTTTACAACTCATTTCTCTTCGCAGTTAAAGACAAGTAAAACATCTTTAATTCCCTTTAAACAAACTTTTCTCATTCTTTAATAGGTCGTCTTTAATCATCTATAATTATACTATAATTTGGTTATTTAAAGCCTCCAGAAAAATCTTTAATCTGCATGCTGAAAGGAGAGTTTAGGTACATTTACTAAATTTAATCAAACTGATTAAATCTGAATAAAGCCGCCAATAACATCGCTTTACGCCACCTTTAACCATGATGATAGCTACTGATTTCGTCCTGTGAAAACTATAGCTTAAATAATAGTAGACGTTTCTTGCTTTGTCAGGAAACATCACAGCTCATGAAGACACGGTTTTTGAGCTTTATAACCGGCCGAGGCGGAAGTAAATCATGAAGTCGGGAAAACGTTTTACTTAGAAAGATTATTTTGCAAAACATTCTCGTACATACAAGAATCATAAAAATACAAATGTTGAATTGTTAATATTTTCGACTGTCAAGTTCAGTTATTTTTAAACAATATGTTGTTAGCCAATCAGAATGCAAAATTGACCGACCCGGACCAGGGCATCCTCTGTTCTCACCTCGTCCTCATACGAAAGCCCTGGAAACGAGGTTGCATGGTCCTATAATGCCCTACTTGGGGCCAATTACTAACCATTCTTCATTAAGTTTAGATATCATAAGCCAAGCATTGCAACAAGCGTTTGGAGATGACTGTCCTCAAGAATCTGCAAGATACTAGCATTGCTGATAAATTTGGCAAAGTACATCACAAGATAAATAAACAATACAGTAGTAATGTTCTCTCTCTCTCTACTATTGAAGTAACTTTTCTCTCTCGAGCTCTCATAGTGCAACATAAATATTGCTGGGCCATCTTCACGTATAATTCAAAGAGAACAATGCAAGGTATGTATGTTTGCAGATAACTTGTAATAAGATGTTTGTGATGTTACTCTGAGTGTATATCCACACCAGGGAAAAACGTGCATTTTTGAAAGTCGTCCCCAGGCCGAAAAATCAATATTTTGCTATGTTTATTCCACAAGTATGCTTCATTTGAAGAGCTATATCGACTAAAAAAATCGGATTTTTTCATTTTTTCGGCCAAAATTTTCGTTTGTTCTCCCCTAGCTTCGCCCCCATTCAACCGATTTTCTTCATTATAGATCATTACAAGACCTTTCGAATGAGCTGTGTTTCGTCACAAACAGTCTTATAGGCCACAAAGTTACGGCCGTGCCCCAAAGGATTTTTTTTCAAAAAACACTTTTCCAACTTTGTGCCGTCATAGCTCCGCCCCCTTTCAATTTAACTTGACGAAACTTGGCACAAGGTAAGCTCGGTACTCCATCTATCCATTCATTCCTGATACCATTCAACTACATTCTAATTTAAGTTCTAAAATTAAAGTTGAGTTCTTTCCATGTTTTATTGAATCATTGTAGAGAATTTTCATTTTCCGAGAATTTATTATAAATAAATAAATTAACAGTCAGTAACTGTTTGAAAACATTTGTAAATATTCCTTATACTCGTAGAGAAACTATATTACATGACAACTGAAGCAATAGTTCGAACATTGCCTGGAGGCCTGGTGCCTAGTTTAAGTGTCGGAGCGTAAAATGTCATGGGATAGCGTCGTTTCGAATTTTTGTGCTAAAAATTTGAAAGCACGTTTACATGTCGTTCATGGTGAGCAAATTTATCGAAATTGGAAACCCAAACGATGGAAAAAGCATTTATAGTTTTATTTTGACTTGCTATTTAAGCACTTTAATTGCGAAAGAATGTAGTGAAAAACGACTGTTACTTGAGCCATGTGTCAGTGTTGTAACGGGTCACCTACAGGTCGAGTCACGAGTCGAGTCATTTCAGTTTTCTGCTCGAGTCGAGTCAGTGGCTTCACTCGAGTCGAGTCAGCGGTTTCACTCGAATCAAGTCGAGTCACTGGTTTATGTCGAGTCGAGTCAATAGCTAGACTTGACTTGAGTCAGGGAATTTGATCAAGTCCACCCCCATCCTCGTTAGCAGGGCCTCTCGGCCGCGCGCGTCCTCCCTACGCCCTGGGATATACGCAACCGGAAGTGCAAGAAAATTTTAGCACCCGTAACAATTTTCAAAGTGAAGTATTACGAAGAAACTAAGTATTTGCGTTGACATATGTTGATAGAATAATTTTTCCTTCCGAAAGCTGCTCAATTTCTGCGAAATAGCATTTCTCTGAGAAGCCAATCAAATCGTCTAACCCACAGCCTAATTTTCAACGTGTGACCGAGTGAAAATGGCTCTGGGGACAAGAATGGTCCACCTCATGCTTTCTGTAATGGTTCGCTACCCTACCTTGCAGTCTGAATTTAGTAATCAAATTTACGTTTTAAGCTAATCACCTTAGTCATGTAATAACAGTTTCTGGAGAGCTGTAGGCTATACCAATGTCACAGTTCTAGTCAATATTAAGTCGAGTGTACGTATATACAACTAGCATAACTTGCAACTGGAGTCAGAATTCACAAAGAATAGACTTTAATTAGCACTTCATAAATACCAAAAATAAAAATAGCCGGTCAAAATTAGTGTAAATACACAACATTTTCCATTTTAATCGCTGTGGCACTAGCGTTGTTTCTAAAAACAGAAAATGTAACATATAGGCATGCCCATCAGGAATATATTGTTTGCAAATCCCATATATTTTTGATAAAGTTTGGAAGTTCGCGTCGTTCACAGAGCTCATTGTTCTTCCCAAGCAATACAATCACAATATTTTTTATGAATTTATGCTGTACAAGTTGTAGCTGGGTTGACTCGAGTCATTTACGGCAAAATCAGCAAGTCGAGTGCGAGTCGAGTCATTTGGGACTGTTGACCCGACTCGAGTCGAGTTATTTTTCGTATTGGACTCGATTCGAGTCTCTGAAAATAGCGACTCGAGTCCACTCGAGTCCGAGTCAATGACCCGACTCGTATACAACACTGCCATGTGTCTGAAATCCTGTTGTATATAATTTTGAGTTTGCCGCGTTCAATTTGCATAAAAACATAGGAAATGTTGGTCTCTGGCAAGGAAAGATAGAATAAAATATCAATTCGAATTTATTATAGTAAATCCTGCACTAAATGGTGAACTAAGGCACTATTAATATTAATATTAACATTTTAGCAATAATTCAGTCTTTGCCACTCTTTGGCATATAATAATTTGGCACTTTTCTAGACCTTAATAATAAAACTTAATGTATAACTTAATAATAAAACGATATGAAATAATATATTAAACACACCAGTGCTTTTAACAATATGAAATAATATTTAAACATTTGAATGCTTTTAAGGATATGTTAGCATTTTAATACATGAATAAGGATTGGAATTACAGAAGAATTACAGCATTGAGTGTGATATACCAGCTATACGCCCGTATCCTAAAAGCTCACTCACACTCAATGAGTGGAGGCTCAAATCTGAGCTGCTCTTGAGTGACAATGCTGTTTTTGAGTAGCTTGAGGGTGAGTAGTCACCGCGTAAGGTATGACACTAGCCCTCCAGCTATTCAAGAACATCAGTGACACTCGAGAAAAGCTCAGATTGAACCCTCACTCATTGAGTGTGAGTGTGAGTTTCTGAATACTGGCGATAGTGTATTCATCTTAACAAATCAAGCTGCAACTATGTTGCTTTACTTTTTCTAATGCCATGCAGACAATTTCACTCGTCAAGGGGAGATTCTTCCAAGCTCTTTGTTAATGAGCTTCAATTGTATAAAATGATGTGCTTGTAAAGGCTGGAAGATGTACGAGCGTTGAGACAATGCCAAATGTTCTCTTTATATGTTTTCAGATTAATATTGGAACTGGGTTATAGCCCGGTTCCAGATATTGTTATCTAGTCTCAACAATCAGAACTGGATTGAGTTGACAAACTGGTGTCAGTGTAAGCTGAGAATTAACAAGAATAAATAGTCTTCTTTTAGTGCTTTCTATGAAGGAAATGACGAAGTGGCCCAGCTAAGGTAGCCACCAAGGCCAAACGAATCAGTGCGAATCTTATAAACAGCCCCTACAAAAATTTAGTAACTAGTAGAAACATAATTACACATGAATCCTAAATCTACCCAAATGCAGCCATTTTAAGGCCTGTTTACACTGTGCTCAATTTTGGTACCCGTAAAATGATTACCATGCTTGGACTACCTATTCATACAGGCCGAGCACGGATAAATTTGATACAGGTATCAATTTTATTTGTTCCGTACCAAAAATTGAGTATAGTGTACAATAGGACTTTAGTAGTTTAGTGCTTTAATAATCTAAATTATGCCAGAAGTATAAAGGGTCATGCACTGTACAATAGCCAATTTTCTGTAATGAATGAGTTATTACAGTATAGTACATGTAGAGCTGTCCATAGGCCTCCGATAATGCAGGGGACCTGCTATTTTTCCTTATGTGCTCTGTCTTGTTAAATTAATTTACTCTGTCTTGTTAATTTACTCTGTCTGATACCAAACAATTTTACCTATCTTTCCATACTTCATACTAAGTTCATGCATGAGAATTATATTGTACATCAATTATGGCAGCACAGATGACACAAACATTCGTTAAATATTACATCAAGTTTGAAACAAACAGGTTATATTTTATTTGTAGGTTTCCATGGCGATAAAACATATAATACTTTTGTTTGTGGAAACTCCATATGTAGTTACATGGTGTTTCTACATACAAAACTATTATATAGCTAGTAGAAAACTAGCGTGGCAAACTGGGTATGAAAATTTGCTCCAAACTCTTTGCAAACTTCAGATGAAAAGATTAGGGTCGGTGATTTCTTTGGCCTAACTCATTAGTACGCTCTACTATCTCCTGCAACCTAGTAGATAGTTAATTAAGCCAATTAATGTAGGCCTATACCTGGTAACACATTAGACATGGCTACCCTAAGGGCATCCCCTATTTGGCCTAACACTAGATTATTCTTGCCGTCTCAATACCAATTAAATCTGAAACATATTAAATAAATCTGAGTTTATAAATTCCTATTTATTCAAATTTTGTTCTGGATGATACAGTCTATGGAAAGACAGGTGCTATGCAGTACACGGTACATGACAAATGCTGTGGGGCTCGAAGAGGAGTAACTAAAAGCAAACCAGCCATGCATTAACAATTAATGACTTTTAGGTACTCATTTATTTCTAGACATGTATATAAATATAACTATGTAATATTAGGAAATTTTAAATAAGTGTAGGTTATAGTAATTTAGTGTAATTACTCCGCCCCAGGGGCCAGTTGTTCAAAGCTGGATTAGTACTAACCCTGGGTTAAAATTAACCTGCTGTTTAGTTTGTGTATTTCCACACGTCTGTTTATTTCAAAACTTCACAGTTGCAGCAACTTCATGTTGCAGAAGAGGAAATAGTTTTATGCAAGAAATGAATCTCACTTGGTGGCACTTATGTGACATACCTGGTTCGTAGGTAATATCAACGCTGAAATATTTTTCTCTTCCGCTCTTCTCGCGTGAGAGGAAACTCAACCAAATCGGAACATTCACTTGGTTGACTGTTAAAAGTAACAGGAGGGAAGGGGTTTTGAGATGATCTTCTACGATCGATCGTGTTCACTGTTTTTACTGGAAAACTTCTGACAACGATTGAAATGCGTAATTTTGTCCGGTTGATGGAAAATAGGCAGCAGCTTTGGGATTTTCCGAGTCATGTTCATCAAGCCATTTGCGATTGGCATTTTGAAATATCTTAGTTGAAATAGACGCTTTCTATTCCTGTTAACTGTTCACTTTTGTTTGACTACTAAATTATAGGAGTTGCAACGAACAGAGGGGTCGGACAATGTAGGATAATTTCAATTAATCGACAGGATTCTGCCCCCTATCAGCGCTCCCCCGGTCATATTAGTAGGAAAAAACCCGGTGAAATAGGGTTAAAGCCGCTACAATTCGTGGGAGATAGAAGACGTCGAATAATCTTATTCCGTCCGTAAAAAGATCATTAACTCATTCTTTAGAAGAAACATCCATAACTCGGTATAAAAAAAAATAACTCGTGCAACACCGACCGACGTCATTAGGAGTTCAATTTGTAGTAAAATGGCAAAGGCAGTGACGGAAGCGACTTAGGAACTTCTAACATCATTACATCCTGTGGTCCCTCACTCCAGAAGAACACGAAATCATTTGACCAAGAGAAAAAGGACAAAAACGATGCACCGTCGCTTCCATGCTGTGACGAAATTACTATTGGTAACGTCTCCAACACAATTACTATTTGGTAACGTCTTCATTTTTGTTTGACTTAAACTATTGGAGTTGCAAAGAACAGAGGAGTTGGACAATGTAGGTTAATTTAAATTAATCGACAGGATCCTACGCCCTTTCAGCATACCCCCGGTCATATTAATATGAAAAACCCCAGCACAAATAGGGTTAAAGCTGCTACAATTCTTGAGAGGTGGGAGACGTTGAATAATCTTAATCCGTCCGTAAAAAGATCATTAACTCATTCTTTGGAAGAAACATCCATAACTCGGAAAAAAAATGTGACTCGAGCAACACCGACCGACGTCACGATGAGTTAAATTTGTAGTAAAATGGCAAAAGGCAGAGATGGAAGCGACTCAGGAACTTCTAACACCATTACATCCTGTGGTCTCTCACTCCAGTAGAACACGAAATCATTTGACCAAGAGAAAAAAGACAAAAACGATGCACAGTCATTTCCATGCTGTGACGAAATTACTATTGGTAACGTCTCCAACACAATTACTATTTGGTAACGTTTTTTGTTTGACTTAAACTATTGGAGTTGCAAAGAACAGAGGGTTGGACAATGTAGGTTAATTTAAATTAATCGACAGGATCCTGCGACCTTTCAGCATACCCCCGGTCATATTAATATGAAAAACCCCGGAACAAATAGGGTTAAAGCTGCTACAATTCTGGAGAGGTGGGAGACGTTGAATAATCTTAATCCGTCCGTAAAAAGATCATTAACTCATTCTTTGGAAGAAACATCCATAACTCGGAAAAAAAAATGTGACTCGTGCAACACCGACCGACGTCACGATGAGTTCAATTTGTAGTAAAATGGCAAAAGGCAGAGATGGAAGCGACTCAGGAACTTCTAACACCATTACATCCTGTGGTCTCTCACTCCAGTAGAACACGAAATCATTTGACCAAGAGAAAAAAGACAAAAACGATTCACCGTCGTTTCCATGCTGTGACGAAATTACTATTGGTAACGTCTCCAACACAATTACTATTTGGTAACGTCTTCATTTTTGTTTGACTTAAACTATTGGAGTTGCAAAGAACAGAGGAGTTGGACAATGTAGGTTAATTTAAATTAATCGACAGGATCCTGCGCCCTTTCAGCATACCCCCGGTCATATTAATATGAAAAACCCCGGTACAAATAGGGTTAAAGCTGCTACAATTCTTGAGAGGTGGGAGACGTTGAATAATCTTGATCCGTCCGTAAAAAGATCATTAACTCATTCTTTGGAAGAAACATCCATAACTCGGAAAAAAAATGTGACTCGAGCAACACCGACCGACGTCACGATGAGTTCAATTTGTAGTAAAATGGCAAAAGGCAGAGATGGAAGCGACTCAGGAACTTCTAACACCATTATATCCTGTGGTCTCTCACTCCAGTAGAACACGAAATCATTTGACCAAGAGAAAAAAGACAAAAACGATGCACCGTCGTTTCCATGCTGTGACGAAATTACTATTGGTAACGTCTCCAACACAATTACTATTTAGTAACGTCTTCATTTTTGTTTGACTTAAACTATTGGAGTTGCAAAGAACAGAGGAGTTGGACAATGTAGGTTAATTTAAATTAGTCGACAGGATCCTGCGCCCTTTCAGCATACCCCCGGTCATATTAATATGAAAAACCCCGGTACAAATAGGGTTAAAGCTGCTACAATTCTTGAGAGGTGGGAGACGTTGAATAATCTTGATCCGTCCGTAAAAAGATCATTAACTCATTCTTTGGAAGAAACATCCATAACTCGGAAAAAAAAATGTGACTCGTGCAACACCGACCGACGTCACGATGAGTTCAATTTGTAGTAAAATGGCAAAAGGCAGAGATGGAAGCGACTCAGGAACTTCTAACACCATTACATCCTGTGGTCTCTCACTCCAGTAGAACACGAAATCATTTGACCAAGAGAAAAAAGACAAAAACGATGCACCGTCGTTTCCATGCTGTCACGAAATTACTATTGGTAACGTCTCCAACACAATTACTATTTAGTAACGTCTTCATTTTTGTTTGACTTAAACTATTGGAGTTGCAAAGAACAGAGGAGTTGGACAATGTAGGTTAATTTAAATTAATCGACAGGATCCTGCGCACTTTCACCATACCCCCGGTCATATTAATATGAAAAACCCCGGTACAAATAGGGTTAAAGCTGCTACAATTCTTGAGAGGTGGGAGACGTTGAATAATCTTGATCCGTCCGTAAAAAGATCATTAACTCATTCTTTAGAAGAAACATCCATAACTCGGAAAAAAAAACGTGACTCGAGCAACACCGACCGACGTCACGATGAGTTCAATTTGTAGTAAAATGGCAAAAGGCAGAGATGGAAGCGACTCAGGAACTTCTAACACCATTACATCCTGTGGTCTCTCACTCCAGTAGAACACGAAATCATTTGACCAAGAGAAAAAAGACAAAAACGATGCACCGTCGTTTCCATGCTGTGACGAAATTACTATTGGTAACGTCTCCAACACTCACAAAACGGTCGCGATTCAAGTTCAGTCAAAATACACCAAACCACTCTGATGCCTACACCATAGTACTTGGAAAAAACAAGGAAGCAAGGTCACCAGCAGTAGTTCGCCATGTTGCTACACCACCATCTGATCATGCGAGTTTAATTAAGCACCAGACAATTCAACCAGTCAACTTCAATGGCCTCAGTTGAGAGTGGAAGTCACCAGCAATATTTGCCCATGTTTGTTCGCCACCATCTGATCATGAGAGTTTAAGCACCAGAAACATTGTCCCTAAAGGAAAAATCAAAAGTGAGAATGACTGTTCAACTGCAAATAACCGGCCAACAAGTGGAAGTAAGGTGCTTATGAAACGAAATTTTTACCTCATTTTTTATTGTCTTATTACAAGGTACTGCTTAAATGATGAAGAATGACATTTACAGTTTGTTCGTAACTCATCTCATTCCCACGTTATCGCTCTTTCTATATTTTGAGTTGTGACGTCACTAGTTTGACCCAAAATGGGCTGCAATAACAAGAAAATCTGATATCTTGATGATCATTTAATAAAATTCAATGAAACTTGACACACTTAGTGGGTGCAACGAAGTGAACAATTTGGCTTGTTTTTATGGTTGTTATGGCAACACACTCGTCCCCAGTCCCCTCTCTTCCAAGTTCTATATGATCCATTTCCAACGAAATAAATGATAATTTCTGCAATTGACGCTTATTACTATCATACATATCGTTATTGTGATCAGTTTAAACCGTTATAACATACAAATATCCTCTGCAAGAAGTCTACAGGAGGAAATTTGTGAAAAGGAAGAGAGGAGATTGGGCACGAGTGTTTTGCCATGACAACCACACGACCGTCCAAAAATATTCATATGGGTGCACTCACTAAGTGTACCGAGTTTCATTGAATTATTTTATTAAATACGCACTAAGATATCAGACTTTCTTGTTATTGCCATTATCTTAAGTCAAACTACAATCCTGGAAAAAAATATATTAGTAGACTTCTTAAATTTTCAAACTTTGTCCCCCTCCCCCCTTATACAATGTTGGTATTTAGGTGACATATGTTGCAAATCCACTTTACCTGAACCAACATTGTTTCGGGGGGGGGGGGAGGGGGTAATTTAAAGTAAATAGTTGCTTTAATTGAAAAATGCTCACATTTTCATCATATGTTTTCAAATTTGGGTGTATTTTTCGAAAAGTCTACAGATATTTTTTCCAAGATTGTAGTGACGTCACAACTCGAAATTTAGAAAGTGCGATAACTTGAGAATGAGATGAGATATGAAGAAACTGTGAACGTCGTTGTTCATTCCTCCAGCAGTACCTTTTAGCAGAACAATAAAAATTGAGGTGAAAATGTCGTTTCATAAGCACTTTAAGTTTGTTGATGAAGCTACGATTTTCTGTACTCCAAATATCAGCTGTCAAGATTCTTGTATGTGGGATCATACAGGACTATTTCTAATTAATATTTGAATGAAATGTTTTCAGTAGTGTTCATTAGGTGCCGTATCAGTGGTTTTATATGGGATAAAAAATCGTGTTCATTTTTACTTTTAGCTTTGATTTTTATTTCGCCAGTGAACTTTTTGGGTGCGTCATTTTTTAAATACTGTTTAATAAACGAGCAGGAGTGTTTTATTAGGTTTAAAGCCACTAGCGAACAGCGCGCGAGCGGCTTTTGACCGAATAAAACACGACCTGCGAGTTTATTAAACGGCTTCAAACAGGACTACAAATTCAATAGATATACTATACTGCCTGTCGAACCGAGACGCCCAAATCAAACCGATAAATCCCATATTGGGCATGCAACTACTATTAAAGACGAAAAATATCAGGCAACAAATAGATATGAAATACAAAGCGATACTACCCACTCGGAAGTCAATGAGTTCGTGGACTATCATGAACATACATATATACATACATACATACACTTTATTTCAACACGGAAGAATCATCAGTACAAGAATAAAATACACAAATTTAAAAATATACAATGTTAGTCAAAAGATAAAAATAATAATTACTGTTTCACATGATTGCCGTGCAAGAGTCCATACTCAATGTACTATAGGAAATTAGTCAATTCGACGTTGAATGAATTGAGAGAAGGGGCTGATCAGAGCTGTTCTGACAAGCTGTTCCACAGGGATGCACCACTGTAGCTGAAAGAACGTTTTAAATAGTCTGTTCAAGGTTTTGGAACAGACAATTTATTTAGAGAATTTCTCAGATCATAATTGCTCACTTTGGGTGTAAATAACTGCTGCAAGTATTGAGGAGCACAATTATTATTAACTTTGTACATTTGGATACTTTTTGCTTCATGCGATTTTTTGCCAAAACACTCCATCCCAACTCAGAAAGTAGGGATGCTGACGAAACCTCATACGAGGACCTGGTCATTACCCTAGCCGCACGATTTTGCAGCTTTTGTAGTTTCTCACCCAGTTTTAAACCAATACCATCCCAAACTGGGGAGCAATAAGTAAAATAGGGCTCGACCAGGCCCCTGTATGCCTTCACAGCCGTTTCTCCATTGATGAAAGGTCTTACGCGCTTAAGAGCACTAATACCGGACGAAATTTTTTTGGTTATATTATTGATATGGTTTTTCCAAGTTAAGTGCTCGTCGATTGTTAGACCTAATGACATTGTAGATTGAACTTTTTTTATCTTTTCGTTGTCTACAAAGACATTTAAATCGTTGGTTTCACTGAAAGTTCCAAGTCTGTGACGGGAGCCAATGACCATAAGTTCGGTTTTTGCAATATTAGGACTTAATTTATTGGATTGTAGCCAGGTATTTAGATTGATCAATTCCGCATTCATTGCGTCTTCCAACTCAGAAAGATCATGGCTATGAAAAGTTGGTTAGAGCGAAATAAAGAAAGCAGAAGAATGACAGCCAAACACCGATATGGAAAATCTATCAACGCGTTCACAAACAACAAGCACGAGCAGCTTAACCAGAAGCAGGATGAACCTCAAGCCAAAGGAAATACATCAGCAACGGTAATTATAGTTGGTGATTCTATAATAAAGCATCTTAATAAACGACGGTTGCAACGATCAATTACCAAGACACATAAGATCAGAACAGGAACATACAGCGGTGCAAACAGTAGCGATGAAACACCATATAAAATCGTGAATGTTAGGGTTTGTAATCGAAGTGAGAATATATACATTTTAAGACCTAAGCAGGAACGACTGCGAAAAATGCAGCACAAGGTCCTCTGGTAGGAATTGAACCTACGGCCCTGCGATTCCGGTGCAGCGCTCTAACCAACTGAGCTATAGAGGCCAGTTGTTGAGCTGTAAATGTAAGTTCATGTATATATAGGTAATCGGGTGTGCGGGTTGTTATTACATGAACTTACGGTTACAGCTCAACAACTGGCCTCTATAGCTCAGTTGGTTAGAGCGCTGCACCGGAATCGCAGGGCCGTAAGTTCAATTCCTACCAGAGGACCTTGTGCTGCATTTTTCGCAGTCGTTCCTGCTTAGGTCTTAAAATGTATATATTCTCACTTCGATTACCAACCCTAACATTCTAATATTAATTCCACCATGTGAAGTGCAAGAATCCATCATATAAAATCGTGCCTGGAATGGCAACCAGACAAAATAATCCTTCATGTTGGAACCAACGACATTGGTAATAAAGAAGCCACTGAAATTGCAGAAGGAATCGCTGAAATCGGACAACTAATTAAACAGGTGAGTAGCAAAACTGAAATTGCTATTTCACAGATTGTTAATAGAACAGACAAGACAGGAATAACTAAGAAAATTAATGAGGTAAATGAAAACCTAGCACATTATTGTAAATGGAATAAATGGGGCTTAATTAGACATGATAACGCCACATTCAAACATTTAAACTCTTATGGATTACATCTTAATAGGTCTGGGCTGCAGTGCTTGCGAAAATATTACTTTGTTTTTAAACAGCACTCCTAATTGAGAAACAAAGACGGTCAAGAAACCCAGATAAGAAATTCAAACGACGAATAATGACAAATATACCGACGCTAACAAAGATAGTTTTCGAACAAATCCGCATGCTCCTAAAATAAATCGTAAAACAAAATACATACGCGGTTTTAAAATTGCTCATTTAAACATTAGAAGTTTAATTAAACATATTGTTCAATTCAGATACTTTCGTAACGAAAAACAATTCGACATAATGTGTCTTATTAAACGAAACAATTAATGATCATGAAGTTAATATTGAAGGCTATGACATTGTGAGAAAAGATAGAAATCGTAATGGTGGTGGGGTAGCTATTTATGTTCGAAGTACAATCAATTACATAATAAGTGCTGAGTTTGAGACAGCTTTATGGTCAATGTGGGAACAGGGATAATATTATAAATGTCGAATTTATTAAAGGTGACCCCCCTTTGCTAATTTAAATTTTAAGTTCGATGTGCGCAAGTAAAAATGTCCACCTTGTCCTTGAGATGGAAATACATTATGATAATAATGAGGTCACGTTGTTATTAGTTAAAGCAACGTGTTCTCTCATTAGAAATTCAAATTTGTTTTGCCAATAATGTATTAATAAATATGCACTTACAAAACTCTTTTCATCGTCATTGGAATCTTTGTTTGCTGAAATCGTCAAAATCTGTGCTGGAGCAAACATAGAAATGAACAGATATAAAAGTCAAATGACTGATGTAAAAACTAAATTGTCTATTTCTAAAATAGCAAAGAATTGATAAGGATTCTTATATGATGGAAAATAATTCATCGGGGTTCTTACCGGATATTGTACATATCATCTTCGTTGAAGTCATCTTTGATTTTCCACGAGGAAGAGCAAGGTTGGCAGGGTCATTCAGGTAAGATGAGGGATATTTGATAGGTTCAGGGATATCAACGACATAGCACTTCGGCGTAATTATCGGCTTGAACTCAGATTCGAACTCGAACTCATAAATTCCCTGGCCCCTATTCAAAAATATGAATCTGAACTCAATTCGATCCGCCAATATTGATTTCCGACGCATATGACGGGAAGTTTAAATATTAAAGAATCCCGCGAGTATTTGCAGTAGAAATACGAATATACCACCAAAAAATTCTGCGTGATCGATACTATATATTCCGAAATATTCGTATAATTTTACTGTTTCTCGCTCAATTTCTTACCTTGAAATGATCAATGCTGTGAAATTTATGCAAATCACACATTACCAATTTTGCTGTTGCATTTTGAATGTTCCGCCTGATTCAAATGCTTGTATCTTTGCTTCTTTTCAACGTATAATAAACCTTGCATTCTATAGCTCGGAGCAGTCTCGGAAAATTGCGAAATAATCTATGCCTATTATGGCGATTCTCGTGCTCAGAAAGTGTTCGGCCAACTTCGGACGCCAAATTCTTGGTAAAACATTACAGTTTCCTGGTAAAAGACTGCAGAAATCACTTCCGGAGTGTTTTTTACCCTAGATGCGGATTTTGATTGGCTTAGGCTGAAAAACAAACCTTTTAGAGCAATTTTCCTGATTATCGCGCACGAGCGTTGTAATGTATTGTGTTGTAATTGTATTGTTTGAATCGCATCCTCAAGACGCCCTTGGCCTTATTTTGCAAACTGATAGTGCTAGTGATGAGGGAATGTCTTCGTACGAAGACAAGTATCGCAACCTGGCATTGGGAATCGTGTCTGGAGTTTTAAGGCAAGTATTTTGATCATTTTTGGACATTCTATTTCAATGTCTTGCCGTTGCCATGGCGTTGTAAATTTATTTGCAGCTAGTACGACCAAGTATGTCCTCATATTTGTGTTTAAATAATCCTTCCATACTGAAATTGACAAATATAAATGGTATTTATTTATATTGTTGACGAAAATTGATGGTGTTTTAGGCATAAGAAACTCTGATTTCTAGGCAAAGTAAAATGAGCCTTGAGCACATGTTTGGTTGTTTGTTACATACATAATAGACCAAGTATTCATACTTATGTCTTACCAGTTTGACTCCTATTATAATTTCAAGTGGCACCATGTAAATTATGTCTATAAAAATGTTTTTATTTGCAGTGACGACGATATTCATCCTGTTCCTAGCTGCTGTTCCTGTTTCATAGCCTCAGGGAAGTAGCAGTTCTGATGAGTCACGAGAACCCCTCTCCCCAACCCCCATTAGGAAAACGTGTAAGTGTAGAGGGAAGGTAGGGGGATGAGTAGAGGTAGAGGGAAGTCCAGCCACAAGAACCCAATGTTTTGAAAGCTCCCTGTCTAGCACGCCCACTAGGCCCCGTAGTACATGACAGATATGGTGATCCTGACACTAGGAATATTCTCCCAGATTTTGCCCCTCGCCGTACCGACATGTCCGGGATCCATTTCGATCAAGCTTTCACCAGAAGTATAAACTGTGAGCTTGAGTTCATTCGGCTCTTTTTAATAAGGGAATGCTTCAGAAGGTAGTTTCCCGGTCATACCAATACATATGCCCACATACAAACAACCCAAAAATCATCCCCATATACTAATAAAGAAGGGTCTTGGAGTCCACCAACCTTGAGGAGATTAAGAGGTTGATTGCCTTTTTAGTGTATCCAGGTTTGGTAAAGGTCGACAGTGAGATTGAAAACTATTGGAGTTGTAAAAACCTTATATTATGGTCTGTGGGCAATAGAAATAGTTTCGCGGTTTAGGTACAAAACGCTTATGGCGTTTCTGAATATGGTAGATCCTGTCACTGAAGACTACAGCAATAAACTGCATCAACAACTGTACCAACCATCACAGAATATTGCTGTTGACAAACACATTGTCAAATCAAGCAATAGGATGGGGATTAGGCAGTTCATGAAAGATGGCCTATATGTGGGGGCTAAATCTGTGGGTTGCTGCAGGCAGTCCTAATGGTTATATTGCGACTTTGAGATTTATACAGGAAGAAGTCCAGAGATTCATAGCAGCATGGATTTGGGTATGACGTGGTGATGTGATATAAGTTTGGGTCCAGTCTTAGGTCTTTTGTGGTCCAATATATATTTTGTGCAAGAAAAGGAAATATTTTCACCACATAATCCAATTATGTGCCTTGGAAAACATTACTGCCTTGGAAAACATTACTTTTTTATAACTACTAATCATGACGCCAGCCCAACAACACTTGGTTATGCTATATGCAAATATTTTCATGTTCTAGATTGTGAAAACAATCAATTACTAAAGAAATGAGTAATGATTATTTAAAATTTGAATAGCATGACCAAATTTCAGGCTGGTTATGCCACTGATAGCTAAGTCAATGGTATACTGATTATCTATGAATGTATATAGTAACCGTAGAAATAAAGACATTTTGCAAATAGTGATTTGAGTGTTCTTATGTGGGTATCACAGACTTATGTTGGTGCCATACTATCCTTGGAGAGTAAGAAATATTGGAAATTTGTATTGATAATATGTTGCAGCAATGAAAAAGGACCTTTGATAAGGATATTTGCTTCATGTCAGCACAAAATGTAAATTTTACTCAACTACATAGTTTATTCACAAATTAAATAAAAATACTTTGATTTATGCTACATACATGAAACTTCGGGTACATGTAGACCACAACTGGATCATTCAGCTACATTCATAAAATGTTTGACATATTTGAAATTTGAACCGGTAAATATATTTATGCATGATTGCAACATTTTTTATATCATAATTTATGCAAATTTATGCGAGTAAATCGTTACCAAGCTCCGGATGAAATTGAAATTGGTATCCTTGGAAAGCGGAAGTCCTCCTCTTTCGAACGATGCAATTTCTGTTTCCGTACAATGTATAGTTATTATTTAAATTAATAGCTTCGAGTCTTGATTGTACTTCATAATACTCGCCTCGATAAAACAATGTAATGCCCTTTATTAACTTCACTCACTATAGCAATTTACAGAATATATTAACTTTAACTCAAAACGTGGTTGACCTTTTTCATATTCCCGGCATCCCCTTGTCTATGTTGCCTTTTTTCTTTGCTCACAATAGCGACAGTCATTGGAAGCTGCGACGATGAAGTTGTTATGTCAGAAATCCAGTCAAATCCGAAGACACCTCCAGGTAATCTTAACAGTGACACAATCGAACAAATTTCGAAAGCTGTACAGGATCAACTTTCGGCTATATTGCCGAGTATGATTCAAGAAATCAGCAAGTTAACTCCTCGTACTGAAGGAGCACACATGTTGACACCAACTCCCCGGTTAGCCGCCGGGTCAACGCAATGCTTACAAAAGCGTCCGTCGACCTCCCGGTTAGCCTCCGGTCAGCACAAGGCTTAAACAAGTTTCAGACGAGAACGAGGACGTACAAGAGATTAATGCGGAGAAATTTGAACCTCCTGCAAAGAAAGCCAACCTGTCTGAATCCACGGAATTTAGTGACCTAAACGAAGATGGTCCTGGACGCTGGGAAGCTTCAGAAGAACTTTCTAGTCTTTTTAATGTTTTATTCATTGACAAAACGCTTTCTACATACGAACGAAAGCAGATAACTAAAGAATTCCCGCGTCCAAATATCGAGGCAGTGTACACACCAGTTCTCGATAATTATTTGAGCTCACTGATTGCTGGTGCGAAAGGTGTAGACAAAGAGCCTAAAATGCTACAAGACCAAATTTTAGATGTGGTTGGGCCATTATCGATGGTCTTTGAGCATGTATTAGGATGGCAGTCAAGTTAAGACAGTGCCGAGACAATCATTGTACCTTCGAACAAAATTAATGACCTCTATGCATGCCTGACAAAAGCCCTGTGTTTATTGGGAAGTCTTAACAATCAGTTAACAGTTCAGCGAAGAAAAGAAATTTTGGATGAACTTAATCCAAAGTTAAATTCACTTGCCACTGAGCCATTTCCAGATGCCGGCAAGATGTTGTTTGGTAAATCCTTTGAAGAAAAGATTATACAAAGGAATGAAACAGCTCGGATTATTTCAGCAGCAACTGCACGAAACCAGCAAATAAGTTTTTCGCAGAGGGCAGGAACAGGGCACATTACCAAGCCAGAGGGAGGTACTTCTTTCGAACCCGTGGTCGGGGAGAGGCAACTTCCCAACCCCTTAATTCCAAATATCCCAGCCGCAACAAAGCCAGCAGTGATTGCTCAAAGTGGTCAAATAACAGGTATATTATAAAACGAAACAAACTTAACACATTTCCCCAAAATAAATGCATTATCGGAAAAGTTCGGGGTTCGTCATGTAAGCTAAAACCAGTTTCCACTAACAGGTCGTTTAAAATATTTTGTAAAAAATTGGGAATTAGTGACAAACGACCCCTGGGTACTCCAGGGTACCATATTTGTTTTTCAAATCTGCCATTCCAGAAAACAATTCCGGCATTGATGGTGTCAGTAGAGGACCAAGAGCTCATAAACAAAGAGGTGGAAGAATTGATAGAAAAACAAGCAATACAACATGTTCCACCACAACAAAACAGCACAGGTTTTTTAAGCACACTGTTTGTGTTCCCCAAGAAAGGTGGGGGGCACCGGCCAATTTTCAATCTCAAACAATTGAACCACTTTGTTCAGTACGAACATTTCAAAATGGAGGACATACATATGCTGCGAGACCTCCTGGAAGCAAACGATTATATGGCAAAAATCGATCTAAAATATGCCTATTTTACAATTCCCATTTGGAAGGATCACCAATTCCTTCGCTTTCTTTGGAAAGATACCCAATGGGCATTTATGTGCCTGCCTTTCGGATTGGCCAGTGCCCCACGCGTTTTCACAAAAATCCTAAAACCAATAGTTGGTTTGTTCAAAAACAGGGCATTCGATTAATTATTTATCTAGACGATATATTATTGATGGCATCAACAGCCAAAACACTGTCACATCATGTGACACTTACAGTAGCACTCCTAGAGTTGTTGGGATTTGTTGTAAACTACCAGATATCCCAATTGAATCCAGTTCAATTTCTCGAATTCCTGGGCTTTCAAATAATTCTGTAACATTTCAAATCAGTCTTGCCAAAGACAAAGTAAAAAACGTCAAAAGTGAATGTCAGAAAGTCTTAGACCACCAAACAATAACGGTTAGAGAATTAGCAAGGGTGGGTTAACTACAAACTTTTTCTAGTTCGCTATAACTACAGCTACTTGAAAAATATGTTGTCAGCTACAACTACTGCTACTTTTGAACAAAAGTGGTTCGCTACTGACTACAGCTACTGCTTAAAAAATGTAGCGAATTATTTCGCTGTTTCGCTACTCAATATTTTTTAATTTTACTGTGTTTGGAACATCTACTATAGCTCAGGCTGTAATGTAACCTGTAACAAATCGACTTACGCGAGTAAATAAGACGGCATGCACTTGCACAGTTTGAACAGTTGCACGGCATACTAATTTATTTGTGCAAATTGAGTATTGATTTTAAGCAAACTGTGTCTTATAATTAACAAGACGCTCTATAGAGCGTTAACTCGCTGGGCTATACAAATGAACTAAATTTTGTCACCATATTTTCTCATTATTTGGTAACCGCTACAGAAAAACAGAACAACTTACAGAAAACAAGACGCCAGCTCAGCAATACGAAATTCAACGAGAGATTTCAAGAACTCCCATTCGGTTTTTATTCTATATATAATGACTTCAGGTCAGGATTTTATAGAACCAGACACAGTACTAAAATACGGTGCCCTACAAAGAAAACTTCCGGCGTTTCCGCCTGCAAGTAAGTTATATTTAGTACGCTACATTCTTCTGTCGGCCGCTAGTTGTCCGCATGCTAGGATTAAACTGCTCTTTATTAAAAGTTCAAAATAAAATATTTAGGAACTTTTGGGCTCAAAATACTATCAAAACGAAGAGAGAAGTGAGACGAATCCACTGGTTTACGGCCGAAAAAAAGAAAACCCACGAAACCAAAATTATCAAAGATCAAACGTAGTTTATAAATATTTTTGAGCGATTTGTTAACAATACCGAATTTTGCTTGGCTTTCAAAGACAAAGGCCATAAATCGCTAGAATAATGTTGTGTAGTAATACATTTATAACATCCGTAAGTACAATTTCTTATGCTAAATCGAACGGTGGTATTTTTATCCCTTATTGGGAAAATTGCGCCATTAGGCATTAATACAAATACAAAGACAAACGTACGTACTGCGAGTGATTTGTTAACAAAGTCAATACGTACTGCGAGCCATTTATCAACAAAACAATTTCGCTTGATTTTCAAAGGCCATAAATCACTAGAATATTGTTGTTTAGTAATACATTTGACAGCGGTAAGAACAATTTCTTAATATGCTGAATCGAACGGTGGTATTTTTATCCCTTATTGGGAATATTGCGCCATTACATTAGGCATAAACACAAATAGAAGGACAAACGTACTGCGAGTGATTTGTCTGTCAACAATACGTACTGCGATCGATTTGTAACAATACAATTTCGCCACTAAATCGCTAGAATATGGCTGTTGTTTAGTGTAAATACATTTAACATCCGTAAGTACAATTTCTTACGCTGAATCGAACGGTGGTATTTTTTTATCCTTATTGCACCATAACATTAGGCATTACAAATACAATATCACATTTCACGCTACAGTTTTCACGTTTCCACAGCTAACTATTAGGGACTGTTGTTGCATAAATTTTATATTGATATGACACCTATATGCTTCTCATAAGGTAGTTATCTTTTAAAACTACGTTGTGTAGTCTAATTTATAACCTAAAGTTTACCTTGAAATTGTCTTTGGCTCCTTCACGCCTGGCATTTTTGCATGCGAAAACGCTAGTTCGCCATTCATTATGACCTGCGGTATTCTTCAAAAAATGCTGCGTAAGCATAATTAACTTGACAAGATGGTGGCCATTCAAAATGGCAATTTTAGTCTTGACGAGGTCTTAAATCAAGATATTTTGAACGACAACTGTGTCGAACGGCCGGTAGATAATTTTCAGAAAGTAATGGAGGCCCTTGATAGCTGCACTCGGGAGAAAAGCTGCCAAAACGACGCGTTTTTCGTGGATGAATGTGCCGAGCAAGTTGAAACTTTACTGGAAGCTCATGATTCTCTGGATTAAATGTGCCACGGAAGATGACTAATTCCATAAATCCAGCGCCAATACTACAAAGGGAAGCTCGGCTGTGGCTGGCAGGAATTCGACGGCGGATAGGGAGCAAAACGAGTATCAGAAACCCATATTTATTTACTCAGTTTATCATGTTTTCAATAATCGTGGGAAATGTTCGGGGTTTGTACGGATTTGTTGAACCATTTTGTTTTCACTGTGATGTCAAGAAGGCTATTGTTATTTATTTTACTTTAATGCGCTTTGTCAAGGAGTTATTTGCTTTATTATCTGGGTTGTCCAAGGATGTTGTGCCTGGCTACTTTGGGCAAAGTTTTTCAACTACAGTGTATATATGGATTGGACAGTGGAATGTCATTGGATTTCCTCGGCATGTTTGCTAGTAATGTCTGAAATATTATAATTCATTAAAGTATAGTCAGGTATATTGTAACAGTTGTGAAGATGTATTCTCTCAAACTCTCTCAGCATTCACATTATGACATTATTAATTATTATAAGAGCTAAATAGCTGATAAATAGTGTATTGGCGGCCTCCATCCCTTCCTTTCTGTGATGGATTGTCACCCTTGGTCCCTTTATACCCAATGACTCTTCACAGCTGTTGCAAACATATCAAAACATTGTTAAGATAATTGGTAATTCTTAAAATGCCCATGCATAACTGGTCATTGCTACCAAAATCATTTCTACCTATGTCTCCAAAATTATCAGCATGTATGTACCATTATTACATGTATTTATACTGTTACTGTGGCAATGACCAACAAGTAATGGGAATTGCCAAATAGTTGTCCATTTCATGATGTCAGAGTATGCTTCTCTGATGACTGGTTTTCTATAAATACCCAGATAGCAAAGGAAACAACTCAAATATTTTAGTGAAGTGAAAGTTAAAAATATAATTTCTCTTTGCAATATTGGTGTTGGAATTTTGAAATGAGTCAACCCTGAACCAAGTGTTGTAGGTTTTCTCTGGGTACTATGGTTTACTCACATGGGAAGAAAAATCTGTTTGAAAAAGTTGTCCACTTTCATGACCATTTGACTGGCACTGCAAGCATTTATTGTTGACCTACAGACAAGGGATTCAAAGCAATACATTTTGCCAGAAGTAATTATTTGCACATTCAGCTTTTTATTTTCTTATCTCAATCAATCTGCAGGCAAAAATCATTGCATACAACACAAATATAATGATGTGGACATCAATTGATATCTTGTTTTTTTTAAAGAAATACAATGGTTTACATAGGTTATGATATGGTTAGGTAAAATAATACTATATACAAATTAGCATAATATATCTAACCCAGAATAAGAACATCTATACAAAGTGAGAGATGCAACTTTAAATAATAACAACATAGTGTTGATATATGTTAATTTGTAGATGTATATGTAGTTTTCTGTATAATTGTATTAATATATTCTATATTGTTATTAATATTTTTCGTATATACTTTGTTATGACTAAATGCATCTGATTGGTTTAATTTTTGTCACATGATCATAAAAGCTCATGTAATTTTCCAGACCCCGCAACAAACTTCCCGACGAAGGGCCTTCGCTCGAAACATTGTCCTTGTATTTTTCAGGTAGTTGCATCCCTACCAAACAGGGGCGAAACTTGAGTTAGGGGGGGGGTGTTCAGGGGGTGGTCCAGAAAAATTTTCCACCCCCTCCCCACCCACCCACCTCTGTTCGCCAGCATTTTGGGGGAAACAGTGGCCAGAAATGAAAATTTGCTGCAGGGCATCATCGGTTTGGGCAGGGCAATTCTGGCAGACACCCCCAAATTAAAAGGGGGGGGGGGGTAGTTTTGCCCCTGCTACCAAACAAAGTTTCAAATGAAGATAGTTCTATGTTACTACCATGCACTGTGTGTGGCATAATAAATACACTTAGCACTTTACTGGGAATCTTTAAACTCCTGTGTTTTGTGACTAAAACTATTTGTAGATTAATTTTGCCACTTGGGATAAATCCTCATGATCACCAGGATCGACAGACTGTGCACGTTAAACAGTTACTGTTAGACTGGCTACAATTTGCTGCTCTTGTCACATGAACAATTCTTGGTTGTTTGCTATTAAAACCACTTTCATCCTTGCCATTGAATTTTTGAATCTAAATCATTAGCTGTAGGAAAAGAAAATTAAAAGGTAGGTTTAATCATTAGTTAGTTAGATTGATATGTGAGAGGTCTTAGACTTTTACATCAAAATTATTGAGTGGAACTTTATAAACATTTATTAGATCTAATCGGGAATAACTGCGAGAAAAGCAACTATCGGTCACTGGCAGGAATTGACCCTGCAGCCATGCTGCAGTGCTGGACTAAGGCCTGTTCATGCATTACTGTATATTACATATATACTAATTAAGGTACTATATATACATATATCATACTAAAAAGGTACTGCCATGACCCTAACCCATAAGAGAGCTCGGCAACTGGCCTCTGTCGGTTAGAGTGCTGCACTGGAATCGCAGGTCTAATTCCGGCCAGGGACCTACAGTTGCTTTTTTTCACAGCTGTTCCTTGTTTTGGAATAATAAGTGTCTATAAATTTCCACTCGACAATTTCCTTGTCCAAGACCCTTCAACTATTATAATGAGTGGGAGTTACAGTACAGAGCCCAAATGTCGAGCTCTAACCACAAGTATATATACTGGTTACTGCCTTGTCAATGTATCAGTAAATATTAATATGTTTTAAAGGTTATAGATTTCAATTTTGGTATTTAGCGATACTAACACAGCAGTACCCAAGTATACACACATGAATTCCAGCTTGACAACTGGACTCTGTAGCTCAGTTTTGTTGGTTAGAATGCTGCAATTGCACCAGGATGGCTTAAAATAGTATACAGTTTATAGTTTAATAATTAAAAATAGATATGCTATAAGTGATATAAAACAAACTATTATCTAGTCTAATGGGTTAGCATATTTGCAAAATTGTAACCCTTACGAAAATTTCCTATAGGAATTCCTATAGGAAAAATTCCTATAAGAATTTGGGACAAAATTCCTATAGGAATTTTTCCTATACGAATTCCTATAGGAATTCTTATAGGAATTCCTGTAGAAAAAATTCCTATAGGAATTTTTCCTATAGGAATTCCTATAGGAAAAATTCCTATAGGAAAAATTCCTATAGGAATTTTGTCCCAAATTCTTATAGGAATTTTTCCTATAGGAATTTTTCCAATAGGAATTCCTATAGGAAAAATTCCTATAGGAATTTTTTCTACAGGAATCCCTATAAGAATTTAATAGGAAGAATTCCTATAAGAATTCTCAAGTCTAGTCCCAAATTATTATAGGAATTTCCTATAAGAAAATAATTTATTCTAATTTCCTATAAGATTTTTGGTATTCCTGCAGAAATTCTAGAATCTAGATGAAATAATAGTAAATGACAGACAATGTTGTTCATCACTCTTAATTTTTTAATGCAAAAAATAGATATAAATATTAATATTGCAAATATAAAAATTAATATGAGAAATTGGTTATACTAAACATTACAAATCAATTATAGTTTTCACCTATTGTGACAAATTAATCGTTCTACCTCAATGCAATGCCATATGATGCGTCCTACTTTATTATTTTACTCTGTCTAACTATTTTACTTTGTCTAATGCCAGACTATTTTACTCTGTCTAACTCCAGACAATTGTACTTGAATGTCAAGGGGAAATGCTGGCTCGAATGGGTTAACTAGCCTATATTCCTATATATGTGTCTAGTTAACCCATTGAATCACATTGCGCCCTGATGCGCCTACTTTATTATTTTACTATAGTTTACTCTGTCTAACGCCAGACGATTTTACTCGTCAGAGCGCTGGCGCTTAATGGGCTAAACCATAGGTAATAACCATAATTGACATTTAAAGTTAAGTTTTAAACTGGCCTCAAAACATAGTCCTCAAATAAGTTCTTGTTCTTGTTTGCTTTTCTGTACTTTGCAACACTTTCCCATGTTGTTTATATTTGTCCTCATATGTTGACGAACCTCTGAGGCCTTACATCCATACTTTGTCGATAGCTGTAAAAAGACAAATACATTTATTTTATGTCTACCATCCCAATGTGTTTTGTTAACCCATTAAATATGCCCAAATGCACCCAATTTATTATTTTACTCTAAGTGGAGAGTCTAGCACTTTAATAGAATAAACACAGTAAAATAACAAGGTACTAAAAGTAGGGCACATTGCTTCTAAATATGCCACACAGCAGCTTTTGCAGTTAATTATTAACCTTTCAATGACCAACATTCATTTTGATGAGTAAAATCATCTGATAAATATCAAAGTACTGAAAGTGGGGATTGAGTGTTAGGGTGAATTGCATCTAAATGTGCTAACGCCAAATAATGCAAAATAGTCTGGTATTAACAGGGCAAAATATTGAGCTTTGAAATAGAGCACATTAGTGTGAATTTGTGAATTGGGTCTTAATTAGTTTACACAAAACACAGGGAGACAGCAAGGTAACCTATCAAAGTTGTCCACTCTCTTTCAAGTAAAATGATCTGGTGTTAGACAAGGTAAAATAAAAAAGTACTGAAAGTTGAGCACATTCATCTTAATTAACAAGTTAGCATGAAATGTAAGCTAGCAGAGAGTCTGGTTAATTTGAATACCATCACATAGTTATGTTTATAAACTGTGGTTTAATTAATAGAAAAACATGGATAATTTTCCTGGCATTACACTAAAGCATGTCTAAAGGCTAACAGATTTTAATACATTGACTGGTGCAAGACCTCTCAAAATGAAAATTGTTTAATTTAAACAAAACATATGAATAAATACTGCTGCTGATTTGAGCAAGTAGTTAAATTTTCTATAGGCATGCATTAAATATGGCTGACAATTTACAATTAATCTGGCATATACAGTTGGCACTTGGGATATACAAATATATTAATAAACGCATGTTTTTATAGTAGCATTTGTTGAAGTATAAATGCTATAAATATATTTATATCAGCATTCTAATTCCGTTTATATTGTCGCGGCAAATTCAAATTTTATCGAACCACATGCTCGAATTTCACAAATGAAGATTGGAGGTATTTCCTCTATAATTTGCTTTATTATAAATAAACTATAAACTTATTCTTACCTGAACATTATGCAAACATCCCTGATGTATTACTAGTGAAAATCCAGTTGAATCCCATCAAAAATAGTTCTATTTTGCACATAAACCATTGACAAACACTGACTTGAAAAATATCGGAGGTGTGATGATCTATCCCTTGATGCTTTGCGCGCGTGGCAAGAAAACTAGACACCAGTCTGTCAGTCGCGCACATTGCGGTAATTATTCATTTAATCTTAGAAAATAAATAGTCCCAGTATTAAATTCTCTATTAATAAATGTCTATGAGTAAAATATGATATAGGAATAGTGTAGTTGTATAAGAAATTAAAATTCCTATACGAATTCTTATAGGATATGATAATGGTGAAAAAATTCCTATAAGAAATAGAAATTCCTGTAGGAAGGAGTTATCTCGTAAATTATATTTATCTGTATAACTTTTATATAAGTAAAGTTCTTATACCCATGCATGTATCAGGCCATAGTGGTATAGGCTATGAATTTTTCCCACCATTTTCCAATCCTATAAGAATTCCTATAGGAATTTTTATTTCCTATAGGATTTTTTTTCACCATTTTCAAATCCTATAGGAATTTTCATTTCCTATAGGAATTCCTATAGCCATTTTCCAATCCTATAGGAATTCCTACAGGAATATTTTTTCCTATAGGAATTTTTTCACCATTTTCAATTCCTATAGGAATTCCTATAGGAATTTTCAATGCCTATAGGAATTCCTATAGGAAATTTTAATGCCTATAGGAATTCCTATAGGAATTTTCAATGCCTATAGGAATTCCTATAGGAAATTTCAATTCCTATAGGAATTCCTATAGGAATTTTTTTGACCATTTTCAATTCCTATAGGAATTCCTATAGGAATTTTCAATGCCTATAGGAATTCCTATAGGAAATTTTAATTCCTATAGGAATTCCTATAGGAATTTTCAATGCCTATAGGAATTCCTATAGGAATTTTTTTGACCATTTTCAATTCCTATAGGAATTCCTATAGGAATTTTCAATTCCTATAGGAATTCCTATAGGAATTGAAAATTCCTATAGGAATTCCTATAGGAATTTTGATTTCCTATAGGAATTCCTATAGGAAATTTTCGTAAGGGATGTTACACGGTGCAATTTTTCTTGCAACTTGCAATGCAATTCTATTATTGAGAGATGTAAAATTGCCAAATACGAGTTTTCATTACACTCCGCTGATGTTTTCTCAACATATCGAAAATTCTTCACTGATTTCACAAATTAACATCTCTCAAGAGTAGAATTGCATTGCAAGTTGCAAGAAAAATTGCACCGTGTAACATGGCCTTAAGTCATATATAAATTAATCTCAAGCAGAATCTGAACTCTCATATTCAGCTAACAGCGCCCTTGACACTCATTCTATCACTTCTCTCCATCTTCACCTTCTGCCTGTGCTCCTAGCTTCTCATTCACTTTCCACTCTTCCACTCTATATTTTTCTTGCTCTCCTAACTATCTCATCTAGCATGTGGTGAGCACAGTGATGTCAAGTAACGAAGTAAATGTACTTCGATACTGTACTTGAGTATTATTTTTGAGAAGTCAGCATGTAACAAAGTAAACTTTTTCTGGAGTACTTTTACTTGGAATGAGTCGTTTTAAGAAGTGACGTTTTACTTCGCTATTTTCATTTTGTGGCGAAGTATTTGGTTACTTTCTAACTTTTGGATTTCTTATATCTTCAACGGGGTCTGGAAAGTAGACCATGCCGTGAAATAGTGTATATTATTGTGCACGCATATAATGTGTATGCTGTTTTGTGTCTATTGTATGTCAATCCATTGGAGAAGTCCCCCCCCCCACCTGTACATGCTACAGACAATAGTACTTGTACTTTCACTTTGTACTTCAAGTATTTTCTAAGGATACTTTGTACTTTTTGCTTAAGTACGTTTTGCTTCCAGTACTTTTTACTCTTACTCAGGTCGTTTTATTGTTACTTCTACTTTTACTTTTACTCGAGTAGAAATTCAAAGTAATTTAGGCAACACTGGGTGAGCACTATGCATGGGAACTAGTCTCATTAGTATTTTGCCACTTCTGGCATCTTTCTATTGTTTCATAGTATACTCTTATTTTCCAATGCTTATTTTCCAAATCTGAGGGACACCCTTACACTGTACCTCTGATAGGCCCGGTCAACTTATAATTTTCCCTATTGGAAAGTCTCTGCACAAATTTTTTTTTCAAACATTTCTGGTGCACAAATTTTTTTTCTGTTTTCTCTGCTCGATTTTTTTTTTTGCTTGCCCCCCCCCCCCACCTCATCACTTTGTCACATCAAGCTGTCAAATCCTTGCAAAATCAAAAATCTTTAGTTCAGTGCTCTGACGACTGAAATATAATCTAAATTTATAGAAATGTAATTGTGCATATTCACACAGAACTTGGGAACCACGCTTTGAAAAGTGACTTGAAATTGATAATGTGAGGTCGTTCAATACATATGGAATTTGACACAAAAATTTGCTGAATTTATACAATTTTCCAATTCTTACCTGACTGTCAGTCACCTGGCTACTCTTAGAAGAGTCAGTCTGCTCAACTACTAGTGAATACTTCCCTTTCACTGGAGAGAATTGCTGACGTTCATCCCAACTATTTTTTGTTTTCTCTTGAAATTTCTTTTTGAAATTTTTCTTAGCATCTTCTTGGCTGATTGGACCTTCTAGCTTACTTCGCCCATCAGTTCCCTAATAATTTTGGAAGGTTTTAATAAGTCATATGGCATTCAGGCCTAATGTGCTGTTAATGTTATTTTACTTTGTCTAACACCAGACAATTTTACTCATCAAGAGGACAAGAGGAAAGTGCCAGCACTCAATGCCAGCTTAATCATATTACCTATGTGACTTTTGTTAGCCCATATTAAGCACCAGTACTCACCCCTTGATTAGTAAAATCATCTGGTGTTAGACTGCATGAGAGTAAAATAATAAAGTAGGGTACATATATAATAGCGTGATTATTTTTTAGCATGCAATATAATGGATTACAGGGTAAATTAGCCTTTTAAATGGCATTGCATCTGACTGTAATACGGCCAACACTAGACAATTTGACTTGTCAACAGGTAAAGTATCATTATTTCAAAATTTTGGATGAAATCAAAAATTGCAGGAAAAGTCCCCAAATATCATATTTCAGTGGGGCCCAGTGGCTGGCTCTTGCTGTATGCATGGGCATGCCTGTTATCAGTAAATGTTCATCCTTACACAATAACTATTTAGGCAGGTCCATAGCGACTGTGTGTGAGGGGGTGGGGTGTAATATCTCCAACCCGGCTTAGCAATATAGCCTGGTAAGCGGGATGAATTTCTCTTGAGTTTATACGAGAAAATTTTGTTATTTTGACATAATGTTTTGACAGTTGCTAAAAATGGCTTGCGGCAGTATCTATGAACTTTCATCCCAACAACTGGGCTAGCCCACTTGCGAGTGTTTATATTACTGGGCTGTCTCGCTTAGCGGGTCGATCAGCCTGGCTTTCATATACAGGCCTTTGAGGTCTAAGAGATGTAGGTCGATTTTCAAGTAAAGTATATGAGCACTGACAAAGAAATGCTTAAATATATAAATATAACAAAGTAAATAAATAAACTACTATATTACTGTAACATTTTAACACGCACGACAATTAATTTTATACAATCAGGGTTTTTTTCAGGGAATTTTTAGGACTGTAAAACGGCCCCAAAAACTCAATCTTGAATTGAGTTTTGAAACTCAATCCTCTCATTAAAAGATTCTGTGCAGTAAAATGAAGTTGTTTGAGTTAAATTCATGACGTGGGCAAATTAGTTATCAGTTGAAAACCCGAAAATTAAGTTAAAAAATGACTGGAAATCATTTCACAACACAAGAAAAACAACGCATTTGTTGTGTCTTTAATTAACCAGTTTATAGTGTCCCTTAGTGCCCCTGCTTCAACACATTGTATCTCAACTACACTAAAGTAGGCACAGGTATCAGCCTCCTGGTAGGGGGGGGGGGGGGGGGGGGAGACAGCCTCCCCAGACCCCTAGTTGTTCAGCTAAACTCAATCTTGTCTGCAAAAACGGACCCAAGAGAAAATCCTGAAAGAAACCCTGACAATCTACAATGCAGACTTAAAATTGCAAAGCCCAGTAAATTATTGTTACAAGTGGAAATTAATAATATTAGAATTATATATAAAACGACACTTACATTTCTCCCCCATCTTGTCCAAACATGAAATCCTTTGTCATTTTTCAACACTTGAATACGGTAAAATTTATCTGATTTTTCATTAACAAAGTTAAGTAAACAATCATAACCTTGAAACACTTCGCCTTTGTCTAAACTGCAATGGCCATCCATGTCATCCATGTTTAATGAACATGAACTTCCGGGAAATCTACTTCCTACATTTATGCATAATTTATGAGGAGGGCCCACGGGGAAAATCAGCTTTTGGATTTCCTGCGCAAAAATTCTTGCAATTATGGAAATTTGTGCAAAATGTTTCAAAATGTAGAAAGTGCAAATAATTTCTATAAAAGAATTTACACAAACTGCAGGATCCCTTGGTCTACTCAGGGCCTCTCAGGGGGGCGGGGGTTCAAAGAGGAAATTTGCCTGGGCCCCCAGTTAAAGGGGGCCCCAAAATTTGCCCTTGTGAGGCCACAAAAGGTGTGATAAAAAATATATAATTTGAAACGTTTTTATAATAATAATAATAATAATAATAATAATAATAATAATAATGGAAACTTTAATAATTTTGTTATATACTATATATATACAATTGTAAATCTCACTAATTTAAGGTAACTTACAATTGGCTATTTGAATCACAACTATATGAACTACTAAAAATGACGGGACAGAATACATGAAAATATATAAATATACCAGACAATCAGATATTTCAAATAGTTAACAAGTCCGGACTTTCCCATTCCTTATTTCGACAGCAGAAAATATAGTATGTACTTCGAATGGCAATAGTCACTGATCATTTTCCTAACACAGTACGTTTGGTAGTTTTTGTCCTGACCAACATTTCCTAACATTTCTAAGAATGTAGAGCATTCTTGCGCAAAAATACCTAGGGAGCTCATGGAAAGATTTATAAAGCTTACTTCGTTAAAATGTTTGTCTAGTTGTTTTACTAGTTCTTTATATTTGGCTTTTTTCCGATTAACGTTGTTCTCGAGGTTTGTCTCATAGCCAACAGTGAGCTCGACCACATAAAGAGAGCCATTTGATAACGACAGCAACAAATCCGGGCAATACGTATCACCAGTTATTATTGACGGACTTTTGAATCCAGGCACATCAGCGTAGAGGGCAGAACCGTTCACAGATTGCAAGGTATTGGCAACGAAGTTCAGGATTGAATTGTGCCTCCACGTAAATCGATCGAGATAACACTGACATCCAGCGACCACGTGCAATAATGATTCTGGGCCAAGACAAAAGGAGCATTCTGAACTTGAAGACAATCCCCATCTGCTAAGGTTCTTGCGTGTCGGAAGAGAGTTATTGATATAGCGTGATGGTAAAATTATAAATGTTTTTCGGAAGTTTTGATTGAGCAGTAGACCACACTTTGCTAAGATGCGACAAGGAGAACTTTGTTATACTAGAGAAAAAGGATCCCTGACAAGTTAATTGATTTTGGAGTTTATCTTCATGTTCAGACCGAAAGTCTTTAAGCACTTCTTTGGTTGAGTTATAAAAGTCGTATTGGATATTAGTATAAGTATTAGTGGATTTCCACAGTTCGTTGATTGATTGATTTGGAGAAAGTTTTAAAGCTTTTCGAAGAATTGTTTGGCATTGGATAAATTTCACCGATGGAGGATACTTTGACCAAATTTGTTGCGAGTTAGAAAAACAGTACTTATAGTGTTCCTGAGATTGGAATTTCAAGCCATTTACGGATGTATTGGTTGGCTACGGGATCAATATTTTCAATAACCCATGTTTTGGAAAGTGTTGCGATGGTGAAATGCCACGATATTTTGGATAAGACATAACGACTGTATACGAGAAGCTTATTTCTTGGGTGGAGTGGCTTCGAGTCAATATCAGTCATTAGTTCATTAGCGAGAGTGGTTAGTTCAGTCTTATGGTTATTGTTCGACATGTTAAAATCAAAGTAACGTCCTAAATATTGAAATGCTTCTCCAATCTTTATTGTTGGTATCAGATTATTGTTGATGAGGAGTTTCGGCAAATATTGGACTGATTTTGTGATGGCTTTCTTGATGCCAAAAGTACTACATTTATCGACTCTGATAATCATATTGGACCATTGGCACCAGATAGAAAAACGATTTAAGAGATGCTGGTTTTCAGATTCTTGGCCAGTGATTACGGCTGCGTCATCAGCGAATTGGAACCAGTGGATAGGATTTAATAGCTTGAAGGAGAATTAGCCAAACTGACGGTAAAAGTATTGAAGCACATATTGAAAAGAAGAGGACTGAGGCAATCTCCTTGCAATACGCCACGGCCAACAGATATAAAAGGGGTGCGGAATTCGGAGGTAATTATTGAGGTTTGGAACTCAGTGTATAAACTTTTTATAACGAATTTTATGTGTTCTGGGATGTGGTGGTAGTCGAGTACTGATTGGATGAGATTATGATGGACTTCGCCGAAAGCATTCTTCAGATCAAGTAAGGTGATGACAACAGCACGTTGTCTGATCCGGGCTTTGTTGATAATGTCAGCCATTTCGGCAGTGTGTTCTAGAGTGCCAGATAGGTTAGGGGTGAAGCCCTTTTGTATGCCGTGTTCGATAAAGTTATTGGATGTGAGGAAGGAATATATTGCGTTTCGAAGACAAGATGTAAATACTTTCAATGGTATAGACTCAAGTGTTATGGGACGGAAATTTGACGGGTCATCAGTGTTACCTTTCTTATGTATTAATATAGTACAGGCTTTTTTCCATTCATTCGGGACAGTTCCAGACAGCCAAACTTCATGAATTAGTTCACTGAGGTAAGTTCTCAGATAAGGACATCGCTTAAAACATATTATCGAAAGCTGATCAAGGGGGCAAGGGGAGCCAGACGATTTCATTTTACGTATCACATTAGTAATTTGTTGATAAGTCGGGGGGTCAAGGTTGAATTGAACTTCGGGATCAGATAACTTTGGTATCCAGCCGGGAATGTTATTAAACAGTCTATTGGGATTAATTTTACCCAGAGATTTAGAAAAATAAGTGAAGCAATCTGTCACGTTAAATGATGGTAATATTGAGTCTTTCTTATTGATAACGTTTTTAATATAACCCCAAAAGTTCCGTACGATATAGTTGTCATGATTGAATGACTCATTGCTGTCAGAGGTTAGCCCATCCTTGTTGTTATTAGGGACGGACCATTAGAAAAGTGATGGGGGGGGGGGTATTTTTTTTTGTTTGCATTTTTTTTCCAGGTTGTCAGCTGTGTATGCATGTTTTTTTTTAAATATGTCTTCTCGCATGCAATTTTTTTTCCAATACAACTATACAAATGTTAACGAAACTGTTCTCTTGACAAAAAATATCCCTTTAATACACACTGCAAAATTATATCTTTAAGCACCATATATGGACAAGTTTTCTAGGGGTCCAGAGCATGCTGACCCGGAAAATTTTTGAATCTAAATTCTCTGAAATACCATTTCCCGGACTTTTGGGAGAGATTTTACAGAATTCTGATGGTCAGAAAACGCCATTGTAACATATCAGAGGCCCTTGGCCAATGTTTTTGCTCTATAGCCCGAGCCTGGGGCCCCCATTTGTGGGCCCATTGAGGTTGGTGGCCCCCGGATTCTCCCAGTCCGAGCCCATAGTAGTTACGCCACTGAGGACAGTGGCAGTGTGAATGAGAATTAATTATTAAATACAATAGAAAATATTTTGATAGTATATAATAAAACTACATAAGAGTTACTGTTAATATTGAAAGAAATTGCATATTAATATATTATATATATATATTTTGATATATTTATATTCTGAAATATTCCAAAGATTTAGTTCAATTTTGTCTGATGTACATTTAAAATTAAAGTTCTATTGTTGTTCTGTTTGTAATTTTTTTTTTAAACAAGTCTGTTTGCATGTATTTTTTTTCAAACCTTTTTTGTTTGCATGGATTTTTTTTCTGTTTTTTCCCCACCCTCCCCATCACTTTTCTAATGGTCCGTCCCTTACGAAGCTTATCACGCAATGTGCGGGAGACGTATTTAATTTCACTAAGGTCACCTTTGTTGGATTTTAAATTTTGCAAAGCTTTCTTTAACTCCTTTACAGTATATTCTTTATACTTAGCAACCATATTTTTGTCAGGGACCGTACGTTTCGTTATGTCCAAAGTTATCAGCAAAGTAGTTGTATATAACGTCGTTTAAAAGCTTGATTTTTGAGTTTACGTCTTGCATTCTGATTGGATCATTTAACTGGAGCGCACATTTAAAATAATCATTAGCCGTTTGCCACCCAGAGTCATTTTTAGGTAAATTTATGCCTTGTTTCAGTTCGGGAAAACTTTCGTCATTAGTCATATCAATGTCGTTAATAGAATTGTCATTTTCAGGGGTATCTGCAGTGTTATCCGTCGTTATTTGCTCTTCAAGATCAGCAGACAGCTCGTCGTTAAGGCCATGTATCACTTGGCAACTACGCTGATGCATTTTAAGGCCACGCGCACCTTTGCATATCTTGCCACAACAACACTTAACAACAGTGCGGCTTGGTACAGGAACATTAGGTGACTGCATAACAGGCACTTCTCTCGATGTAGTATCAGGACGGTCTTGTTCAGCGTGATTAATCCGTTGTTTACATCGCCACGAATGGCGACCAAGCGAGACGAAGTCTTATCCACAAAACGAACAAGCGACACAAATCGATAACATAGCAATAATGCTTGAACGAATCATAATGAAAATCTTTTTGTGATGAACAATATTAAGAATATTAGGAAATACTGTGATTCAAATACGAATTCAGCGATGAAACTATTGACATGTACAGAGCACGTATAAACGTGTCTCTGCTCGATAATAATAATAATAATAATATAAATAATAAACATTATTTATGTAGCGCACAAATCCAAAGCTGTTCAAGGCGCTTTACATGATTTAAAAATAAAACTACTATATACAAACAAAGTTAGGTACCTAAAGTTATCTACATAAATAAAGATTTGCTACTAACAGATTTTGAAAAAAGATAAGTTTTAACTGACCTCTTAAAAGCGTAAACACTAGATGATTTGCAAATATCCAATAGTAAAATATTCCAAAGTCTAGGTGCAGAACTGAAAAAGCTTTATCACCACGTAATTAATAGTCCTTGGTTGACTTAGTAGTTCATTCAATAAAGATCGTAGTGATCTTGAGAATTCACGAAACTGTAGTAGATCAGTTAGATATACCTAGGACTCATGCCATTGTTTTACGAACTAGCAATAAAATTTTAACTAAACTATGCGGTAATGTACTGGCAGCCAATGCAGATCCACTAAAACTGGGGTGATATGTTCATATTTACCAATCCGACAAACAATTCTAGCGGCTGAATTTTGAACATACTGTAACCTTTTCATTTGGTACTTCGGTAAGCCCAGGGCCGTCCTCAGGAAATTCTTCAGGGGGGTGTGATAAGGTCAATTCAACCTACTGGTTCAAAAAAAATTTTTCAGGATCAAAAATTTTTTTGTCGACCTCCCCCCCCCCGGCGCCAAAAAAATTTCGGTCAGTGTACCACCAGGGGTCAAAAAATTTTTCCGGACGTACAAAAGTTTTTCGGAACATTCAAAAATTTTCCGCACATAACAAATTTTCAACATTTTTTACATTTTTTCAAAATTTTTACATTTTTCCTCAAAATTTTCCTAAAATTCCCACCACGTTCTTGCCCTTTGCGCCAAAAATATTTAACCCAAATAGCAGTTCTACCGACTGAATAGCAGTCCTACCGACTGAATAGCAGTCCTGCCGACTGAATACAATTACTGGGGGGGTGTCACCCCCCCCCCGTAGCTCCGGGCCTGGGTAAGCCAAAGACTGGAAGAGAGTTGCAGTAGTCTAGCTTCGTGTAACAAAAGCGTGTACAACAATTGCACAAGGGTGGGTTGACTACAAAATTTTTGTAGTTCGCTATAACTACAGCTGCTTCAAAAATATGTAGTCAGCTACAACTACTGCTACTTTTGAACAAAGGTAGTTCGCTACTGACTACAGCTACTGCTTAAAAAATGTAGCGAACTATTTCGCTATTTCGCCACTTTATATTTTTTAGTTTTACGGTATTTGGAGCATCCACTAGCTCATGCTGTAAATCTTGTAATATAACCTATAACAAATCGACTTACGAGTAGCAACAGTAAACAAAAAGGATCAAAGCAACATTTTTGTTAGCACTACAGTGCTCAGGAGTGCCACTTTTCATTGCGCTAAAATAATCTTTTCTGTATATAAAATAATCTTTTAAGCAAACTGTGTCTTAATATTCTATTCTATGAACGGTTGCTAACAATTTTAAAAAGTAGCGAATAACGATTCGTTGTTTGAAAAGTAGTCAACTATTTGGCTACTTTTTGGCAAAATGTAGTTCGCTATAACTACAACTACTGTTTTAAAAAAGTAGTCAAAAACTACTGGCTACTTGAATATTGTAGTTCGCTACAGTAGCGAACGACTACTTCGCTACTATCCACCCGTGCAATTGCAGCAGTCTCTCTCGTCAGATATTTGCGGATCCTTAGTAAGTTTTTCAGATGGTAAAATGAAGATTTACATTTATCAGCAACATATCTATAAACCATCATGTGCTCATCGAAACCAACACCCAAACTACTGGATAGTTCTCTGAAGCAACTATGTCATCAAAAAGACCTTGGAATTGTTGTCACAAAAGATCTCAAGTGGACGAAACAGATTGAGGAAATAACATCAAAAGCCAGCTCAATGCTAGGCTTCATTCATCGAACAGCCTCCGACACGCATAACATCCACGTGCGAAAGGTCTTGTACCTGTCCTTAGTGCGCAGCAAATTAGGATATGCCAGCCAGGTGTGGGCACCTCAAACTGTCACCGACATACTGTCAATAGAACGGGTCCAACGTCGCGCGACCAAATTCATCCTTTCCCTTCCTTACAGAACAGCCACAACATACAGGCAACGACTACTGGTTATCGGTATTCTCCCAGTTTGCTATTGGCACGAATTTCTAGACTTAGTTTTTCTTCACAAGAGTATTCTAAGCAGCGATATCAATGTGTCAATACGAACAACCACCCGGACGGCTGGAAACGCTGACCCTGTCAATGGTATTCTTCTCAATGTATCTCGATGCAGGACAGTTAGCTACAAGAACAATTTCTATGTGAGAGAGCCTAGTGTATGGAACATTCTCCCTAGCAATATTCGTGACACTTCAAGATCATTAGCTTACTTTAAAATCTCTTTATTCAATTACTACTTAAACCTTTTAGAACAACTATACAACCCGGACAATCCTAGAACATTTAAGCCCGTGTGCGTCAAATGCCACTCAACTCGGTCTCTTGATAGCTTATTAGTGAGGACATGTTGTTGACATTTTAGCATAATTTGTTTTAATGTTATATATTGTAACTTATTGTGAGGGGCCCCATAATTGGAGATTATCTCTGTGGCTAGGCCCTGCCCGAATTGTATGTATATTTTGTAAAGTATTAGTCTTATTTATGTTTGTTATGTTTGGCGAATCTTGTAAAATAAAATAAAATAAAATAAAATGAACTTTGACCAACTTCAATTTTACTGGAGCCCCCCCCTGCCCCCCCCCCCGCAAGGTCGCCCATTGGACTAACAGAAAACAATTTTGCTTCTAACAATATGTTTTTGGTGTTATTTTACATTCACATTCAGTTACTCTTAACTAAACACAACTCCGATGAGTTCTAAGTTCTAACTCATTTATAATAAATATCTTAGCATATTATTTATTGTCTAAGATGCAGTGGCGAAGTTAGCCATGGCAGCTGGTCATGCCTTGCTAATATACATGCATCTAAATTCTAAATAGGTTAAAGACACTATACATTTCTAAACGTTTGAATAATGCAAATGATTAAAGAGGCTGCTAATGGTCCGTTCTGCTCATGCGCGTGTTTTATTTACATTTTTGTTTCAAACAATAGATAATTTAATTAAAACTCTGATCTGTGGGTCGACAGATCGGAATTTTAATGAAATTATCTATTGTTTAATTTGAAACAAAAAATGTACAAAGATCGGAATTTTAATTAAATCATCTATTATTTGAAACAAAAAAATAAACAAAACACGCGCATGAGCAGAACAGACTTGGCAGCCTCTTTAAAAAATTGCATTTACCCGTTGCTATGGCTAGCTTCGCCACTGACAAGATGGTATCTCAATATTAATTATTACATACTTCTTTCAACATATGTAATTATATACTATAACATTACATATTAACTGCAGTTATGTCTTTAGCACCAAAATACTGGTGTGTGATGCGGATGTCAAAGAAATAATGACTCAAAGGGGCTGCTGACAGTGTCCCACCTACCCACCCAGGGGCAAGCTGTGTTAACATGAAGGTTGCAGGAGGATTAATCCTATCCCTCTTAACTCTCACCCTAACCCCAACATATATAGCGACTGATGTATCCATAATTGGTCGTAACCACTCATAAAACTTTCGTGAATCTTCATACTTCCATTGTTCATCTTGATCAGGAAAATCCATCCCAAAAATACTGTTCAGACAGGGTTTTTCTTCTGAATCATGGTCATCGTCATCCTCGTCATAATCAATGTCAGAGCCATCAATGTTATGTCCATAGTTTCGCCGAACGTGAAAGTGTAATTTACTCCTCAAATAGCATTTGTCTTTAGAGAACTTTTCTGGATTAAAATGGAAGATTCCATTCACCAGTTCTAGCGGTTTAGGTGGTTCCTTTTTGTCCCAAGGAAATATAACGACACAAGTTTCATTTGGCCCTTTGTTTGGGTTACCTATAATAATGAAATGGTAGGCAATATTTCGCAGGATTTTGTAAATGAAAAATTCGAGTGAATTTTATACATTTGTTTGGACCTGACCCCGTCTGGCACGAATCGAATCTGCGGCCCTGCGATTCCAGTGCAACGCTCTATAATCAACTGAGCTACATTGGCGTCACCTTAGTATAATATATACATCTCAAACTCATTAATAATTGATGAGTAATTAGCCAAACGATATTGCTTTATTTTGCTCACATGATAATACTGGATAACTGGTGAAGTATATTGTTGCAGTCCTAGGACTGGATCTAAATTAATTCACCAGTCACGTTAAGTAGTGATATATTCGTATGTCTTTTTAAAAGATGTCATTTCAAATCCTCCAATTCGGACTGGAGTAGATTTCAAGTCCTCACATTTTGATCCAGTCCTCACATTTTGCTCGGCTTCGCCTCAGACTTGATCAAATTGCGCGGACTTGAAATCTAGTCCAGTCCTCATAGTCGGATTTGAAATATTACTTCAAACTCTCATTAATAATTCATAAGCTTATTGGCAAATCGTGTCAACTGTAATGTGTCACGAGCAGTCAGGCTTTAAACCTGATAAAACACTAGTACTCCTAATTAGTAATCTTTATATAAAGAATACTAATAAGACAGTTTATTTTTTATCAATGAAAATGAAGCAATCTGATTGGCTGAGGAGCCTTTCAGAGCGGGCCGGTTTTTTGCATCCGGCCCGCTCTGAAACGCAACTGCCCGCTGTGAAATGCAACTGCCCGTTGTGGTTTTCGCGGCAAAAACTGAGGAGTGAAACAATTTTTAAACGGTTCGTTTTAGATGTGATAAAACACATTATACTCTGGTGAATATGATGTTTGTCAGTTCTACACAAAATGTGCAGTTCTAGACCCATTCGGTACAGTTCTTAAAACACAAATGTGCAGTCACGAAACTAACAAATATACCTTAATTAAAACAGTCGATCTTCTCATTTACTCGTTACCCTTGTGAATGCTCCCGAAAATTCCAGATATGCTGTCATTAAATGAGCATCAAAAATATAAACCATTTCTGGGGGAGGACTCCAGACCCTCCTATTTTCCTCACAAATCACTTACGTGCTGCGGTAATGGAAAAGAAGGTAAAATTGGGGCGAGCGAAGCTCCCCAAAAGAGATTAGAGTGGGAGAACCTAATATTCTTTGCTGCCTCAAATGCAAATTTAAGGTTGTTATATATTGAATATCCATGATTGCCAGTTACATGTTTTGAAACAGTTTTTGTGAGTGGTTGAATAAAACAAATCTTTGCTATAGAACTTAACAGCCTCTAGATTCAAATTGTTTTGGGGAACACCCCTAGCTCCCGCACCCAAAATCGAGTTTGTCTGGCCTTTCTCCAATTCTCCCACCCAACCACACCATTATTCTGTCACCTATATCCAGGTAAAAAATCCTTCAAACCCACCCCCCTCCCACCCCCGCCCCGTTAAACACCCGTTGCCTTCGTAACATCCCTATGTGTGCAGTTCTAAATTTTTCTTAAAATAAACGCTGGTCTCTACCAGCCTCTATTGTATGTCGATAGCAGTGATCAGTCATAGAATATATTTAATCAACAGCAAAATACCAGTTTTGGTATATTAAGATACATACATAAAAAATCTACCACTACATTACACACAAAAATATAACAATTTTAACAACAACCTAACTTAAACTTTCAAAAACTACTAAAATGTCGTAACAGTATTTGGCAACCAAGTTCAAAGTTCAAGTTCATATGTAACGAATGATAATAGAATAAAATTTGTGAAAACCGAAAGCATACAGTCCCATTATATTCGAGAACCAGCAAAGGAATAAATTTCACGAGGAGAATTTATAACACGTGACATTTAGGGACTATTGTGGCATAAAATTATTACTAGGATACCAATATGGTTCTCATTACCTATATCTAAACTCAAAAAATTTAAAAAAACTTTAAAAACTTAAAAAACTTTAAAAACTTAAAAAACTTAAAAAACCTGGGAAAATGAGCCTGCAGGTGTACTGAACGACTTCCTGCGTTTGATATGTATGACGTCATCCTCGTTCCCAGAGCCTCTAGATCTGCTGCGCGGTACAGGGTAATTATAAAAGCGAGTGCCTCTGTTGGAATTGATCAGAAGCTGCTGAAGTCGTTGGAGGTAAAAGTACAACATTTTTTCAAGTGACGCTTTCCAGGTAATAATTATAAATGTGAGTTTTTATAGATATAATTTTCCGCTGTAATATCAGGCTAGACAAATTCATGCAGCAGTTATGACTTGTACTAAAGCCGTCACCAAGGTATAAAGATTGCCGTTGTGCTAGAGTGTTGATTAATCTGTAGAAACAATTAAAGTAGAACCGCGCTTACTCGAACTAAATCCAATTTTCCCTGGACTTGACTTAATATAGGTCGTGTACTGTTAAACACCATGGTAGCGACTGTTTAATTCATATCGATCCGTGTTACTTGATTTCCGTAATATATGACAGGAAGAATGAATATTACAGAACTCGATCCGCGAGTATTTGCAGAAGAAATACGAAAATACCACCACAAAATCCGCTTGAAAGATACTATGAAATATACTATGACATATAGGTACATCACTACCAAAAAAAGTTGCCAAGCAAAAAATTTGCCCAATCCCGAGAAACTGGGTGATCAATGATTATCCTCTATTAAATTGTATTACTGCAAAAAAAATGGGAAATTCTATATTCAATTACAATAAAAATGACTTGCATCATCGGAAAACGTACAAAAAAACGCATATAAGACTTTTAAACAGTTTTTTAATTTTTCAAATAGTCTTTGAGTTATTGCTGTTTTAAATGTGAAAATTGGACCAAAATGTCGCAATAATAATTGAACCACAGAAAATATATTTCCCAGGAGGGTGCCACGAAATTGCTTTTCTGGGCACTTTTTCGCACAACAGCCCACGGCCTATTATGGAGGTTTCTTTCTGTGAATTACTCCCATTTCTTTTCATTTGCACAATGTCCAATGCATTCTTTTTGCTAACGCCAGTACCAGGAAGTCTTGAGAAGTCTTGAAAATGTGTGTCTCAATCGCATATCAAAAAGACACAAAAAACTAGAAGACTCCTTAGCCTGAAGAGGGTTATTTTTCGCCGTTTGGGAAGGTTTTGCGACGCTAACATTTCATATTTTTATAGCATGAACACATAAGGTTTGTGCTTCGAAAAAGGCAGAAGAAAAACCTTGGAAAGGCAATTTTCTGGCGATCTGGGAAACTCAAATTTCAAAATTTCCCCCTGGGCATGCCAACCATGGTGACGCCTCATGGACATTAACCTAAGAAAATTACCTTACAGCATATAATTTTCCAAAACTTGACAGGTCTACATCAGCCAAAATACAACATTTTAGAACTGGACATATGCAGAGTGATTATAACTAGGGAATACTCACGAGTCATGATTTATATGTGGTTTACAGGTATAAACTATTATAAACTGGCCATTGAGAAAGAAAGTGACTCTATTTTTATGACCATTACGACTAGATGGAAACCAGGCTTAATAAAGGCAAAGATTTTTAAAGTTGTTAGCCAGTAACTCCAAGCTTAGATAGCAAACTCCATTACATCCAAGGCGGTTCCAAATTTTTTATCTTATATTAAATGGAATGAGCGGAATGCCCGTTTTTAAATATGATGACACATTTTAGTACTTGATCCATCTTTATTTCTCACCTTTCAGTCTGGTTTGTTTCTCACGTACCAGCCAACTTTAAAATTCTTTCACAATATCTAGCTACTAGTTTCAACACCACTGTCTTTACTCAGTGCCATCTTTTTGCGATACTTCTTTATGATCCTTTGGCTCTGAGAGGCCTCATGCTAGTATGGATTAGGAATGTAACATTTCTGTGCACCGCACAATTTAAGCGCAACTTTGGTTGTGCACCACATGTTGTGCACATAGCCAGCGGGTCATGACCTGGAGACATTTTAAATTAAGATTCTTGAGGGGGGGGGGGTTAGCAAGTGTGTTGCAGCGAAGATCAGAATTTCTGAATTCACCAATTATTTAGTTGTTACTCACCATAGTACTAGTAGATACTAAAAAAATATAAAGATATATATTAAACATACGTTGTGAAAATATGATGCAGAGGATCCAAAAACGTGGAAATCTGTGTGTTTAAACTGTACCTCTTGTTGCAGTTTGAACAGTGTTATAAATTGTTGTTTCTAGTTATTATATGTTAAAAGGGCCCACAGTAATTGGTTTTAACTGTTGTGGTGTCCCAGCCATCTGACTGTATGTATTGTACTGTACTGTACTGTACTGTACTGAACTATATATATACTGTACTGTCTTGTGTTAGATTGTATCGTTTTTGTTTTTTTTTCTATTGTACAGTATTGCAAACTATTGTTATTGTTTTTGTATTGTATTATATGGTATATATAAATGGCGAAGTTATATAAATAAATAAATCCAATTTTTTGTGCACCATGCAATAACAGAAGGAAATTGTGTGCACCAAAGAGTGATTATTGGGTAAGTTGTGCACCAATTTGTGCACTGATAGCAATCTTTGTGCACGGCACATGTGCGGTGCACATTGCCTTCATTCCATACTGGGGGCCCCTCATGGTCCCCATCTGCCGTTCTTCCGGTCCAGATATCTCAGGCATGAGGGCTTTTTTTACCATAATTTTATCAGAATGTTACTCTATAGCTAAGGAGCCTTTTTTATGCGTGTTCTTCATTGTGGCGGCTTTCCTACAATATTTCTGCATAAAAATCACGATTAAAAACTGAAAATTTCAACTGACTTTTGTCAATCATTGCAATCATTGAATTGTTCCGCGACGCACTTTGTGTAAATTGTACATCAAGTGGGTCCATTGCAAAATGGACGTTCTTAACTACAGCCATGCATTCTAAATCGTGAGGCATTGTGGTTTATTCAGGGCTTTGGATCAGAACAAGACTTTAATAATCATGATATTTGCTGTGTTGGTGTAATGTACTCAGGCGAATAAGATGCTTGTGTGATGTTACTCTGAGTGTATATCCACACCAGGCAGGCTTGAAAAATATGCCTGGCCTCGGTGGGAATCGAACCTACGACCTTTGGAATACTAGCCCAATGCTCTGCCAACTGAGCTACGCGGTCAGGTCGGTTCGAGTATGCCTGAGTACATTACACCAACACAGCAAATATCATGATTATTAGATTACACATTTAGATTACAAATTAGTATTCCAAAGGTCGTAGGTTCGATTCCCACCGTGGCCAGGCATATTTTCAAGCCTGCCCGGTGTGGATATACACTCAGAGTAACATCACACAAGCAAGACTTTAATAGTATAGCCAAGTTTAAAATTATAAATTCTGTCAGAAAAAATGAAACCAATGTCTTTCATCAGCCGACCACCTGATCAGCAAAGTTGACAAATTTATTTTTTTATGTCTGTGAAACCTATTACAAGACGGATGAACTTACTTCCACAAGTATTTTGATTGAAAGGAATGAAATGTCAGCCATCTTCAATTTTTATAGATATATATGCATGTTACGCCACAACAGGGGTCACGCAATATTTTTATCAAGACAAACACTAATCATTTCAGTTGCACTCAAAACTATACTCTGACTGCCCTTCGAAATATCAAGATCACTCAAAACATCTACAATTCAATACTTGGTCAGCAACGAATACTTTTATATGATTAATCCCTATTGAGACGTCACCAAAACTACTGTTAATGAGATCACAAATTTATCCAAGATGGCGGACATCTTATTACTTCAAGTGAAAATATTTCAAGAACTAACTATTAGCAAGATATGAAAAAAAGGTAAAATAAGTTAATATATATTTCAAAAGTCCTTTCAAATGGGAAAATAAAAGTTAAGTTTATATTGCCATTTCCCTTTAATGCAAATCATATTAGGATGTACAAAGTATTAGGACTTTCCTCGCTTCATTTCTCAGCGCAGGATTCCGCCAAAAGAACACCAGTGAATTTAACGATGCGGAAGCAAACGCCAATGTGCAAGCCCAATTTCTCAGCGAGTATTTTAGATAGCTATGAGTTACAATAGGATTTGTCGCTGCAAATGGAATGAAACACACGATCGTACAGGCAATTACAATTGTGCATGATTTTGCTAGTTTTATATCCTGGGCGATTTTCCCAGCACGATTGTTCACCTCTTCAGTTCTGCTTCTTTTGCGTGCTTTTTGATTTGCGACATATATAGCCACATAAAAATAAATACACGCAATGACGATTGAAAGGACGACAATGCTGGACAAAAATTTTGTCATTCTGTTGAATACAGTTCGTGAAGTTACTACGAATATTGGAATACCTGACCATAAAATCACGGCTGTCACCAACAATTTGGATTTTGTTACGATACGTCGATGAAGAAATGGGTGGACAATACCTAAATATCGCTCAGCGTTTAGTAGAAATGAAGTGATGAAAGACATCGCAGTCACGCAAAACGCCAGTACCTCCAAAAGCGTGAACATTAAACAATCAGGATCTTGTTTTAAGACTTTAATTGCCCTTACAATCATGAAGCCAGCGTTCCCAAACAGCCCTGTTGCAAAATCGGTGATCGATAACAACATAATCAAAAAATATGAACTTTTTCTCCGTAAATGAGTCGATTTCCAATAGGCGAGAATTGTTGCCAAATTTAATGAAATTGTTAGAACCACGAAAATTATGTTGAAAACGATGATAATTATATAGTTGATATAAAATGTCTTTGGCGAAAATTTGCCATCAATTGGATGGCGAGATTTTGAATTAAAAACCACGCAAAATTTCCATGAAGTAGTGTTGTTCAAGTCCATTTTGAAATACACATACACCCTAAACCGAGTTGAATATTTTATTTATTATTTTAATATATAATTTAATGTATGACGATGCGTATACTTTATTAAAACACTGCGGGGTCGCACGGGGGGTATTTCAATGGGTATATAGTATTCTACAAATTAAGCTGCCGTGGTTTGTGTCTAAACTACCTGAAAAAGACATGTCACAAACGTAGTGGTTTACATTAGGTAGTATTTTACAATAGCCTGTCGTGGTTTTTGTCTAAATTATACGAGCGAAAAGAGTTAGAGGCAATTATCAATGATGCTTTAAACTGACGCCATGATATATATTTACAGCAATATATTTACTGAACTTCAGACATCATTTCCTCTTTGGCGTACTATTACGTACTACTTTGTTTGCCAATTTAAAAACATATCGAAAATTAATATTTTCAACATTGAATCAATCAATCAACTTTATTAATGGGGGTAAACGCATGACAATGAATCTGATAAACCAGCGCCCCCTCTTAACTATAAGTACAAAAATATGTTAATAGAATAAATGGCTGCGTATATAGCATGCATATATATATATATATATATATATATATATATATATATATATATATATATATATATATATATATATATATATATATATATATATATATATATATATATATACATATATGTATAGTAGGAATTTAATAACTAATGGTCTAGTAAATGTTATACTTTAAAATGGTTCATGTCATTTAGAATGTCAATATAAAAAGTTCTCAAAGATGATGTAAAAATGTTTATACTTTTAATGGACTTCAGTGCATTTGGCAGGCTGTTCCATACTGATCTTGAGACTTGACATTCTGACTGAGAAGGCTACTACTAAAAAGCGATACAGCGATACAACGATACAGCGATACAGGAACCGGAACCTGGAACCGGAACCTGGAACCGTGCATAATTTATGCAAATTAGAGCATTTTGCACCACATCAGATATATATGATAATAATTTACAGGGGGGGGGGGACGCAATTCAAAGATAGTACAATATATTACAAGTGAAGCATTTTGATTTTCTAAACAAAAGGAATGAACATCGTTGTAACACTATATTACAAAGTAAAACATGTTTCGTAATTGCGCGGCGACTCTTTTTGTCTGGTATGATACTGAACTGCATGTGACGCACTTAGTTTATTTAGCCGCCGCACTTGACTATGAAATGCAAGCAGACAAAGAAAGAAAGAAACCACGGCACA